TTCCCCCTGTATCTCTCCTCTTCTTTTTTTCTTTTTCCTTTCCTTTCTTCTTCCCCATGTCTCAGTGTCAGCTTTCTTTTCTTAGTCTTTTTTTTTCTTATCTCCTCCTCCTGCTCCCTCTCTTTCTTAACTTTCTCTCAATCTTCTACTGCCCCTCCCCCAACTCTCCGTTCTGTATGGTAGAAGAAAACATGAGCCCACTGGTAGTACACGGCCTGTTTTCATAATGGGTCGGTGACAGTGTTAACAACAGGGCAAACACAACTGGTGTGTTCATTTCTGGGAATCAGGTCAGGCCGGATTTTCTTTCTTCTAAAAATGACCTTGGCTCCCATGTCCACCCAGCATTGAATGTAAGAAATGGATCTATAGCAGCCACACGCGGACAGCCAAGCATGGAAGGGTTGCCCATGGGATTTTTGTCAAACCCGAAGCTAAGCTGACCAAAAACCCAAGCAATATATAAGCAACCCCCCCCCCCCCCCACCCACAATTGGTAAATAGTACATATTTTATAGTTAATTTTATAGTTACGAAATGAAACATTTACGCACTTTTATATAAGGATATGAATGTAAAAAAAAAAAAAAAAAGATGTCAAAATCTGAACCAAATATGTCGTATAAAAACCCAGTTCTTGGGGGAAAGCCCAAGTACTGGCAGGCCTGATGGACGGAAGATTCCGTGGATTCTAAATAATAACAGTAGCATTAAAAAATGCTGCAAGAGTTGTAGATGTTTAAAAATTAGCTCACTTAACATTATTTATTTACTAAGTATCTGAAGTTAATTACTAAAGAATCATCTTAGAAAATGCGCAATCACTTTCCTGAAGCCGGATATCTGAGGGATTTCGTGGGACAGTACACTGGAATTATTTCATACTAGCTGTGCCCTGCCACGCGTTGCTGTGGTCCCGAATGGTGAAATGGAAAAGAAAGAAATTAGCTCTCAACTAACGGTGTCTGTCATAACCCTCACCCTCCTTCCCTTCCCCTCCACCCAGTCATATCTCCCTCTCCGAAGGATTGAAAAATCATCCCTGGCGAAAGTATTAAAATAGAAATAATTAGGAAATGAGAACTTAAAAATAATGTTTTAAGCTCTCTTAGCTAACAGTGTCTGGCATAACGCCCCCCCCCCCCCAATCGCCCTCCCCCCTCCCCATTAATCATATCATCCTCGCCGAAGGATGGGAAAGTCATCATCTGACGAAATATTGTAACTAAATTGAGCTTTGCATCCGTGTCCACCCAGAGACAGATGGATAGCAATAATGTGTAATGAGAAGTAAAAGTGGTCAGTGTAACAGCTACCACATCACCCATCCAGTACCAGTACTACTACTTCCACTACCACCACCACCTTCATAACAAAAACAAAAAAACAGTCACTACTGTCTGTGCAGGTCTGTGTAGCCAGAGGAGGTAGCGCCGCGTGTTGTCGCCACAGACTGTTTAGCGTAATTGAGCTCCCATCAAAGAAAAAAAAAAAAAAACTCCATCACCTAACCCACGATAATAGTCCGTTCTATACTCACACATAGCAGAAATAAAAAACCCCACCCGTCATCTCCCCTCTCCGAAGAGACGAATATTAAATGACCTTGGCATTCGTGTCCACCCAAAGTAAACTGGACTGTAAGCAGTCTTAGTTAACAGCTTCTGTCATGAACGAATAGTTTATGATCGAGTGAAGCGTGGCGGGGAGGATAAATGGGATTTTACTGAAATTGGATGTCTTTGAGCGAAAGGTGCAGATGTCGCAGCCTAGCTGTAAACCACAACACAACATGCCAACAGCCCTCTTGAGGAAAAAAAGAAAAATTTGCACTCAGTGGGTAATCGAACATCGGTCAACCGCGTGAAGGGCGGAATACTTACAACTATACTACCTAAGACTGAAGAGTTATGGTCCGATATCGCAGCCTAGCTGTAAACAACAACACAACGTGTCAACCGCCCTCTCAAGGGCGAACGAAGATTACCCGAAACAAAACGTGGCCACCCAGTTAGCCCCCCCCCCCCCCCCCCCCCCCCCAAAAAAAAAACACTTCTGTTACTCAGCGGTGAATCGAACTCCTATCACGCGAGTAAAATGAGAAATGCTTATAACTAACTACGCTACTAAACACACAAGCATTTAGTAGAAATGAAAGTATAAAGTAAATATGTGAAGTTCGGCGTTACACAGTCAAAGCTGGCCTATGATGAATTCCACATATATTTTTGGGAAAGAAACATTACTATTACGTTGATTCATCTGTGCGACTGCCTTTGACTGGCTTGAGAATCAGCTGTACACACATGTGGTGATTAGCTTGAGAATCAGCTGTACACACATGTGGTGACTGGCTTGAGGATCAGCTGTACACACATGTGGTGACTGGCTTGAGAATCAGCTGTACACACATGTGGTGACTGGCTTGAGGATCAGCTGTACACACATATGGTGACTGGCTTGAGGATCAGCTGTACACACATGTGGTGACTGGCTTGAGAATCAGCTGTACACACATGTGGTGACTGGCTTGAGAATCAGCTGTACACACATGTGGTGACTGGCTTGAGAATCAGCTGTACACACATGTGGTGACTGGCTTGAGAATCAGCTGTACACACATGTTGTGACTGGCATGAGAATCAGCTGTACACACATGTGGTGACTGGCTTGAGAATCAGCTGTACACACATGTGGTGACTGGCTTGAGAATCAGCTGTACACACATGTGGTGACTGGCTTGAGAATCAGCTGTACACACATGTGGTGACTGGCATGAGAATCAGCTGTACACACATGTTGTGACTGGCTTGAGAATCAGCTGTACACACATGTGGTGTCTGGCTTGAGAATCAGCTGTACACACATGTGGTGACTGTCATGAGAATCAGCTGTTCACACATGCCGTATACAGTCAGACAGTTACTGGTACCATCGGAATTGGAACTCTTTGCTTGCTGCTGAAGATGGGGACGGAGCGCTTATGGGGTCCCCCGAGTGCTGTGATTTCAATTCCTAATTCAACGTTTAACATTCCTTTATGAGGATCTTATTGTTACTTTCATTGACAGAGCAAAATATAGTGTGAAGCAAACGGTTTTATTTTTTTAACTTTGAAAAACTGTATGAACATGTTTTGGCAGTATCAAATGTATTAATATTAGCTGATACAAGATTGACCATTAAGGAAAATTTGATTGATCGGTTTTTTTATAGTGAATTTTACCAGATGGGTGCATTTAAAATATGAAATAAGATTTAGAAAGATTTAGCCTTGTTTAAAAAAATAAAGCAACAAATAGAGAGTTATGCTGTGATAGGGATATATCGCAACAACGACACTTAAAACATATGACTGAATATAAATTTATTTTTCAGATTTGTTTTTTTTAATTAAGATAAACAGAAGAAACAAGAAACATAAGAAACAATACACAGAAGAAACAATAAACAGAAGAAACAAGAAACAGAAAAAACAAGAAACCGAAAAAACAATAAACAGAAGAAACAAGAAACAAACAAAAAACAAGAAACAGAAGAAACAAGAAACAGAAGAAACAATAAACAGATGAACAATAAACAGAAGAAACAAGAAACAGAAGAAACAATAAACGGAAGTTACAAGAAACAGAAGAAACATGAAACAGAAGAAACATGAAACAGAAGAAACAATAAACAGAAGAAACAGTAAACAGAAGTAACAATAAACAGAAGTAACAATAAACAAAAGAAACAATAAACAGAATAAACAACAACGGTTCTACATGGACAAAAAGTACATTGTATTTCATGAGAATTGATCTAACCAAAGGGTCTGGCTTTTATTAACAGCGAACACAATTTTAGAAAAATGACAAGAATGTAACAGCCCACTCTGATGTTTAGGTCACGGGGAAAACGCATAAGGGTTTAACTAATTAGAAAGACATCTAGGAACTTTTAACGTTCTTTGTCCCAAACAAACTGTGGTTGGCCGTTCATTCATGTGTCGTGACCTTTCACATGCGCTTGTCTATGTTACAGGGGTGTCACAGAGTTGTGTGTAAAAAACGTTACAAGAAATGAAACTATACTAATCGTGGGATAATTTGAAATGGCAGAATGTATGGCCTTTGATTCCTCTATAGTAATATATCATAATGAAAACTCAACCCTCAACAAAATGTTTGATTCATTTCCAGGTGAGTAATGGGTTTTATCAAGCGCTGTAGACACCAACACGACTTAAGTCCATGCGATCTTTGTTTCGAACATGTTAGTCGAGAAATGAAATAAATTACACGACCTATGTAATTACGTAACATGCTCTATGTCTTACACTGCGTCATTCGCATAGATTTTTGCCGAGCGGAAACAATTCTTTTTTCACTAATGTAATATAAACCAAACAGTTTAAAATAAAGTGCAGTGCCGCACAAGAAAACAAAAATGACGTTCTAAATAACACTAAAAGATAAAACGTTCCATCTACAAAAGCAAGTAAAGTAGATTGGCTTCATATTCCTTAACCACTCAGCAAAGGTATGTTGTTCTCTATGGAAAGAATGAATATTATTTATGCCTAATTACAGGATAAAAAATGCAAAGTATTTATTGTACATTTTGTTTCACTCACACACACACACACAAAACATGAACGAGTTGTTTTAACTCTCACACACACACAAACACACACACCACACAAAACATGAACGAGTTGTTTTCACTCACATACACACACACACACAAAACATAAACGAGTTGTTTTCACTCACACACACACACACACACAAAACATGTACGAGTTGTTTTCACTCACACACACACACACAAAACATGTACGAGTTGTTTTTACTCACACACACACACAAAACATGAACGAGTTGTTTTCACTCACTCACACACAAACACACACACAAAACATGAACGAGTTGTTTTCACTGACACACACACACACAAAACATGAACGAGTTGTTTTCACTCACTCACACACACACACACAAAACATGAACGAGTTGTTTTCACTCACACACACACACACACCACACACAAAACATGAACAAGCTGTTTTCACTAACACACACACACACACAAAACATGAACGAGTTGTTTTTACTCACTCACACACACACACACAAAACATGAACGAGTTGTTTTCACTCACACACACACAAAACATGAACGATTTGTTTTCACTCACACACACACAAAACATGAACGAGTTGTTTTCACTCACACACACACACACACACAAAACATGAACGAGTTGTTTTCACTCACACACACACACAACATGAACCAGTTGTTTTCACTCACACACACACACAAAACATGAACGAGTTGTTTTAACTCTCTCTCACACACACACACACACACAAAACATGAACGAATTGTTTTTACTCACACACACACAAAACATGAACGAGTTGTTTCAATCACACACACACACACACACACAAAACATGAACGAATTGTTTTCCCTCACACACACACAAAACATGAACGAGTTGTTTTCACTCACACACACACACACACACACACACACACACACACAAAACATGAACGAGTTGTTTTCACTCACACACACACAAAACATAAACGAGTTGTTTGCACTCACTCACACACACACACAAAACATTAACGAGTTGTTTTCACTCACACACACACACACACACACACACAAAACATGAACGAGTTGTTTTCACTCACACACACACACACAGAAAACATGAACGAGATGTTTTCACTCACTCACACACACACACACAAAACATGAACGAGTTGTTTTCACTCACACACAAAACATGAACGAGTGGTTTTTACTCACACACAAACACACACACACACACACACACACACACACAACATGAACGAGTTGTTTTCACCCACACGCACACACACAAAACATGAACGATTTGTTTTCACTCACACACACACACAACATGAACCAGTTGTTTTCACTCACACACACACACACACACAAAACATGAACGAGTTGTTTTTACTCACACACACACACACACACACACAAAACATGAACGAGTTGTTTTCACCCACACACACACACAAAACATGAACGAGTTGTTTTCACTCACACACACACAAAACATGACGAATTGTTTTCACTCACACACACACACAAAACAGGAACGAGTTGTTTTCCCTCACACACACACACACACAAAACATGAACGAGTTGTTTTCCCTCACACACACACAAAATATGAACGAGTTGTTTTCCCTCACACACACAAAATATGAACGAGTTGTTTTCACACACACACACACACACACACACACACACAAAACATAAACAAGTTGTTTTCACTCACACACACACACACACACACACACAAAACATGAACGAGTTGTTTTCACTCACACACACATACAAAACATGAACGAGTTGTTTTCACTCACTCATACACACACACAAAACATGAACGTGTTGTTTTCACTCACTCACTCACACACACATACACACACACAAAACATGAACGACTTGTTTTCCCTCACACACACACACACACACAAAACATGAACGAGTTGTTTTCCCTCACACACACACAAAACATGAACGAGTTGTTTTCACTCACTCACACACACACACACAAAACATGAACGAGTTGTTTTCACTCACACACACACAAAACATGAACGAGTTGTTTTCACTCACACACACACACACACACACACACACACACACACACACACACAAAACATGAACGAGTTGTTTTCACTCACTCACACACACAAAACATGAACGAGTTGTTTTCACTCACACTCACACACACACACACACACACACACAAAACATGAACGAGTTGTTTTCACTCACACAGACATACACACACACACAAAACATGAACGAGTTGTTTTCACTCACACTCACACACACATACACACACACGCACACACACAAAACATGAACGAGTTGTTTTCACTCACACTCAAACACACACACACACACACACACACACAAAACATGAACGAGTTGTTTTCACTATTAAACGCCTTCGTTGTATTGGCGTTTGCAGTACTTCAGTTTTCCTAATGAATTGGTTTCTGTCATAAAATTTACTAAAGGCATTTGCAGGCACACACAAAAAGACTTTTTGGTAATGAAGACCAATCATGGAATAGGCCTTATGAAGACAAACGGAAACAATTCTTGACAGATAAATCAAGGTGACCTGCATGCACGGTAAAGCCACACGTCTGACTACCGTCGGAAGCATGCCTTTAACATGTGATGCCACAGACATTGAAGATGACCCGTTATTCCCAATTGTTTGCATCAAGAAAGCCATCAGAACATTCACACAATCGGAATGGCAGTCGATCTGTCAGTCGAGCTGTCAGTCACAAGAATGGGTGACCTATGAAAAGCCTATACGCACAAATGTGGCAATAGGGTTAGTGAAATCATGACACTTTAGGCAAAACAAAGAAAGTAATAAGATTGGCAAATCACCTTGAAAAACTCTGCCTCTCACAAGGGGAGAAAACCTACGGAACACACAGACTTGGTGTAACGCTACTCTTTGTGTATCTAAAGCATACGAAGGAATCCAAGCCTGCGTTGAAACATGTGCAGCTAAACTAAACCTTGACATTGCATTCATTAGAGTTGCTTTCCAGCACCAAGTGGGTCAACTAATGAAACTCAGTATTTCATGGCGTCTTGTTCGATATGTCTGCCGCACTGTTCCAGATCAGGCTGGTGCTCTGATGCGATGGTTGATCTTCAAACAAATCAGTTGCAGTTTGCCATGTGAAGTGTCGGACTTTCCATGATAATGCCTGTGGCGATTAGTGTGGACACCGACTCAGCACCGTGTGGAACACACCATGCAAAATCCAGAAACCAAGTCTAGGGTTACAGTAGGTATGAATTTCGCCGTGAACAGTGGAAAATGGTCAGGCGGGAACAATCTGAAAATCCCATAATGCCACTAGGAAGAACTGGGCACACAACACAAACCAAATCACTTCTGTCGTTCTTACGCTAGCTATCTAAGAAGATCGGATTCACATATACTCGCAGCTATAAGGTCATTGTCGTGACCTTGAAAACTTTTAAAGGATTCAACAATGTTTTATGTCTGGCGGAAATGCAATTGACTTTAGATAAATCCAAAAGACACATGTTAAGCAACTTTATACCATTTAATGTTAGGTCATGCATACGGCAGACATGACGATTAACGTCCTAGAAAGATAAAGCTCTCATTACTCTGGCATCCAGAGAAAATCTTCTTTGGAAAAACCACAGATCTCGGACACTCATTGGTGTCATTGTGTGCGCAATTGCCACGCGACACCTTGGAGGTTTGACTACTTTGTGACAATTTAATTTTTAGTATTCTTTGTCAAGATAGGGAGAAAACAACTGGGTAGCAGAGGTATAACTTTCTCATTTGCGGATAAAAGTTAAAAAAAGTAAAGGACCCTTTTCCACGCCTTTATGCTTAAAGGGCATATAGGGCTAGACCTATATTTTTTAGACCAATGGGCACAGGATAACATCTTCATATATCGACAGGGCAGCAACATAGCAAATGTTTCTATCACAGCAGAAATTAGACCGTATACAATCCTGGTGCAATATCTCAGATGCTAAACTGCATCGGTTTAAAGCGAGTTCTCTGGGGTTTGTTTTTTTCCACTGAATAATCCCACTGGGAAAATATAAATACAGATAGTAAAACTGCGTGGCAGGGTCGTGATTATATGAAAGACCCGGTATGCGATTTACTAGATGCCTAAAATTTAAAGCAAATATAGACTCAGTGGCAACCAATATAACAAACTGTTGGGCCATAAGAACAATTCTGGTGGTTTTAAATTTTTAACAACAAAACTTATGATGTTAAATCATGGGCGAGTTCTCTCCACGTAAGTATACACTGACCGTTCTGACCACCAGTATCACACAGATGAACAATCTAGCAAAATATTAAAATGAGGCTATGTATTTTAGTAAAGATGACTAGAAACACCTGCCAGCCCATGCTATACCGTGTAAGTTTTGCCAGCCCATAATTTACCGTGTGAGTTTTGCCAGCCCATGCTTTACCGTGTGAGTTTTGCCAGCCCATGCTTTACCGTATGAGTTTTGCCAGCCCATGCTTTACCGTATGAGTTTTACCAGCCCATTCTTTACCGTGTGAGTTTTGCCAGCCCATTCTTTACCGTGTGAGTTTTGCCAGCCCATGCTTTACCGTGTGAGTTTTGCCAGCCCATGCTTTACCGTGTGAGTTTTGCCAGCCCATGCTTTACCGTGTGAGTTTTGCCAGCCTAATGGGTTCTGAGTCCAGTTTTTTTTTGGAGGGGGGGGGAGGAGGGGGGGGGGGGTAGGGAGTTTCATTCAGGGTGGTTTAAAGGATTTCTGGTGGTTCATTTTTTGGGGTCTGTATTACAGTGGTTTACTGGATTTAAGCAGAATGTTTTTATTTTTTTTATTTTCTTTGTATCTATTGCAGTGGTTTTTCTGGATTTCTGGTAGTTTTTCCTTTCTTTGTCTTTATTACGGTGTTTGAATGATACATGTTTGCGAATTAGTGAACTATATAACTTGTAAAGATTAATTGGCTGTTAAGCAAGTTCCTTCTTCTTTCCTTATAATCCGCAGTTAAACACACAGATTAATTGTAACAATACCCATCCGCCACATTATGCACGTCTAGTAGGGAAATAATTTGAAATGTTAACATTTTTTTAGGTGCAGAAGTTGTTTCAGAGTCTACTAACCTACTTTTAAGTACATGAGTTGTTTCTGAGTCTACTAACCTACTTTAAAGTCCATGAGTTGTTTCAGAGTCTACTAACCTACTTTTAAGTACGTGAGTTGTTTCTGAGTCTACTAACCTACTTTAAAGTCCATGAGTTGTTTCAGAGTCTACTAACCTACTTTTAAGTACATGAGTTGTTTCTGAGTCTACTAACCTACTTTAAAGTCCATGAGTTGTTTCAGAGTCTACTAACCTACTTTTAAGTACATGAGTTGTTTCTGAGTCTACTAACCTACTTTAAAGTCCATGAGTTGTTTCAGAGTCTACTAACCTACTTTAAAGTCCATGAGTTGTTTCAGAGTCTACTAACCTACTTTAAAGTCCATGAGTTGTTTCAGAGTCTACTAACCTACTTTTAAGTACGTGAGTTGTTTCTGAGTCTACTAACCTACTTTAAAGTCCATGAGTTGTTTCAGAGTCTACTAACCTACTTTTAAGTACATGAGTTGTTTCTGAGTCTACTAACCTACTTTAAAGTCCATGAGTTGTTTCAGAGTCTACTAAACTACTTTAAAGTCCATGAGTTGTTTCAGAGTAAACTAACCTACTTTAAAGTTCAGGAGTTGTTTCAGAGTCTACTAACCTACTTTCAAGTTCAAGAGTTGTTTCAGAGTCTACTAACCAACTTTAAAGTCCAGGAGTTGTTTCAGAGTCTACTAACCTACTTGAAAGTCCAGGATTTGTTTCAGAGTCAACTAACCTACTTTAAAGTCCATGAGTTGTTTCAGTGTCTACTAACCTTCTTTAAAGTTCAGGAGTTGTTTCAGAGTCAACTAACCTACTTTTAAGTCTGACGCGAAATTTCTGGAATTCTAGGAATAACATATTATTCTATATTAATGCTGGTGTTATTGCTCCCAGAATTTCGAATATGAAATCCTATTATTAGAGTGGAGGGCTTATTCACATCTCGTTCTATAAAACTATCTCAACTTCCCCCCCCCCCTCTCTCTCCCTCTCTCTCTCTCTCTCTCTCTCTCTCTCTCTCTCTCTCTCTCTCTCTCCATTCGTACGTGCTTGCATGTGCGTCACCATGACTTAAACATATACACCATACTTTAGTGTCACTGAAATACTTTGTTTAATTTCATTTTATTAGTCAGAAAACGATTTCCTTATATCATTATGTTAGTTAGAACAGGATTTCCTAATTTCATTATGGTAGTCAGAAGACTATTTCCTAATTTCATACTGGTAGTCAGAACACGCTTTCTTAATTTAAATAAAAGGAATGCATTTTTCTGTCATAGGTAAAATTTGTTCCTAGAGGTATACTTGACGTGTTAGTACAAATGATGTCCATATTCCTTCCTTAAGTGTTAGTACAAATGATGTCCACATTCCTTCCTTAAGTGTTAGTACAAGTGATGTCTATATTCCCTCCTTATGTGTTAGTACAAGTGATGTCTATATTCCCTCCTTAAGTGTTAGTACAAGTGATGTCTATATTCCCTCCTTATGTGTTAGTACAAGTGATGTCTATATTCCCTCCTTATGTGTTAGTACAAGGGATGTCTATATTCCCTCCTTATGTGTTAGTACAAATGATGTCGATATTCCCTCCTTATGTGTTAGTACAAGTGATGTCTATATTCCTTTCTTATGTGTTAGTACAAGGGATGTCTATATTCCCTCCTTATGTGTTAGTACAAGTGATGTCTATATTCCTTTCTTATGTGTTAGTACAAGGGATGTCTATATTCCCTCCTTATGTGTTAGTACAAGTGATGTCTATATTCCTTTCTTATGTGTTAGTACAAGGGATGTCTATATTCCCTCCTTATGTGTTAGTACAAGTGATGTCTATATTCCCTCCTTATGTGTTAGTACAAATGATGTCTATATTCCCTCCTTAAGTGTTAGTACAAGTGATGTCTATATTCCCTCCTTATGTGTTAGTACAAATGATGTCTATATTCCCTCCTTAAGTGTTAGTACAAGTGATGTCTATATTCCCTCCTTATGTGTTAGTACAAATGATGTCTATATTCCCTCCTTATGTGTTAGTACAAGTGATGTCTATATTCCTTTCTTATGTGTTAGTACAAGGGATGTCTATATTCCCTCCTTATGTGTTAGTACAAGTGATGTCTATATTCCCTCCTTATGTGTTAGTACAAATGATGTCTATATTCCCTCCTTATGTGTTAGTACAAGTGATGTCTATATTCCTTTCTTATGTGTTAGTACAAGGGGTGTCTATATTCCCTCCTTATGTGTTAGTACAAGGGGTGTCTATATTCCCTCCTTATGTGTTAGTACAAGTGATGTCTCTATTCCCTCTTTATGTGTTAGTACAAGTGATGTCTATATTCCTTTCTTATGTGTTAGTACAAGTGATGTCTATATTCCTTTCTTATGTGTTAGTACAAGGGATGTCTATATTCCCTCCTTATGTGTTAGTACAAGTGATGTCTATATTCCTTTCTTATGTGTTAGTACAAATGATGTCTATATTCCCTCCTTATGTGTTAGTACAAGTGATGTCTATATTCCTTTCTTATGTGTTAGTACAAGTGATGTCTATATTCCCTCCTTATGTGTTAGTACAAGTGATGTCTATATTCCTTTCTTATGTGTTAGTACAAGGGATGTCTATATTCCCTCCTTATGTGTTAGTACAAATGATGTCTATATTCTCTCCTTATGTGTTAGTACAAATGATGTCTATATTCCCTCCTTATGTGTTAGTACAAATGATGTCTATATTCCCTCCTTATGTGTTAGTACAAGTGATGTCTATATTCCTTTCTTATGTGTTAGTACAAGGGATGTCTATATTCCCTCCTTATGTGTTAGTACAAGTGATGTCTATATTTCTTTCTTATGTGTTAGTACAAATGATGTCTATATTCCCTCCTTATGTGTTAGTACAAGTGATGTCTATATTCCTTTCTTATGTGTTAGTACAAGTGATGTCTATATTCCCTCCTTATGTGTTAGTACAAGTGATGTCTATATTCCTTTCTTATGTGTTAGTACAAGGGATGTCTATATTCCCTCCTTATGTGTTAGTACAAATGATGTCTATATTCCCTCCTTATGTGTTAGTACAAGTGATGTCTATATTCCTTTCTTATGTGTTAGTACAAGGGATGTCTATATTCCCTCCTTATGTGTTAGTACAAATGATGTCTATATTCCCTCCTTATGTGTTAGTACAAATGATGTCTATATTCCCTCCTTAAGTGTTAGTACAAGTGATGTCTATATTCCCTCCTTAAGTGTTAGTACAAGTGACGTCCATAATCCCTCCTTATGTGTTAGTAAAAGTAATGTTACTTAAAAATTACACAGAATGGGAGCCCTCAAAAAGGAGAAATAGTAAATAAAGTAAAGTAAATGACCCTTTTCCACGCCTTAGGCGTATAGTGCATATAGGGCTAGACCTATATTTTATAGACCAATCGGCACAAGATGGGTGATATGGTCAGTATCACGCCGGTCGACTTCACTTTCCCGGCTCCACCAGGGAGCGAACCCACGACCATCCGATCCGCTGAGAGCGTCTAGCCACTCGGCCACGGCCTCTCCCAAGAAGGAGAAATACCTTGGCTATATTAATATTTCGTCTCTTGAAATGTGAGTTGCCCATTCTCATTTCCTGGTAACAATTTGCCAACTTGCTTTTAAGTGGCGGCAAATGCTAAGCTGCAACTGGGTGTCCCCATAATTTATGACTATTATCAAAACGTTTTTTCCCCAAGCTTTCTCAGTTTAACCAGAAGATATGAAAATGGTTTGATTTAAACGTATAACACACGAGAACACGTATAGATGTTAAAAAAGATAGCCAGACAGACAAAGAGATGGGTATATGGATGGGCGGACGGAACGACTGTATGACCTACTGACAAACAGAGGGACAGATAGAGAGTCTCACCGTCAATTTCTGGCTCCATCCAGATCTGTTTTCTAATCGGTTCATTTTGTGGCGCCATACCAATAGGCACACCTGCAATGAGATTATGATTACATTTTGCCTTGGCAATGGTTTTTCTATGACAATGTTTAGCCCTTTAGACGCGGACAAAAATAAAATGGCTTCTGAAATGTATTAGAAAAAAAGACAAGAAATGTTTTTCTTCTTCTTCTGCATTTGACCTTTACAATTTTGTATTTACAGATTCTTTTCGGGCAGTAAGTCTCTTATCCCACCCTCCCAAATGTGGCCTAGGCATCCATTCAGGTGAGAAACATTTGAGACATCTGTGTGTACCTGTTGTATCTTTTGTGTGACAGATACGCTGCCAATTATAGTTTTCACAAATAAGAAATTGACTCGTGAAACAACCGGTTCATATTTTCGAATCGTATTTGTTAACTGGTAAAATTAACAAATGATAAGTAGTTGGCAATGGCTGTGAAGAACCAATGATGCTGCCGACTTAGTTAGTGAGACAGTTAGTCGACAGATGATCGTCTCTGCACATCGAACCAATCAGTTGATAAGTGCTCGGATCCGCTCCTCAGTCAATCATGTAGCGTGTAGCGGCCGAGGACATCAGTTTTGTGTTGGCTTCTTATTATTTTTTGTTTTTGTTTTTGTTCCTGCAATTTGGTCTTGTTTGGCCGCATCCCTTTTAGCATACTGTTCCTGAAACCCGGTCATGGTTGTAGACTCACAGTCATCACTTGGTCCTCGAAAACACCTTATTTCTCGTAGAGCAAGTGTGACCTTATTATCTTGAAATGCAAACAGGAAACTCCACTAACATTTTGAGCTGAAAACAGGAAACTCCACTAACATGTCCACTAACATTTCGAGCTGAAAACACTAAACTCCACTAACATTTTGAGCTGCAAAACGGGGCATTGCAAGCCAGGCAGTTTAACTCCACTCCATTTTTTCTAGGACCCCAGGCCGGAAGGGCTAACTACCTTCTAGACTATAAAATTAAAACCCGAAGCAACCCATCATGTCGCCAACAAATAAACGAAACAATACGATCTTTAAATGCACTGACACTGTAAGAAACAGCTTCAGTGACACGTCTCGTCAATACATCTTAGACATTTGAAGTATCTGTTCTAGTGCATGTTCTATTCTCCTAAATAAACAGGACAATTGGCGTTTTGTTTACCGAAACACCGACGGGACGTCTGCGGCAAACCTAACATAAACGGACCCAACCAATCTATCTTCCTGAGCATCCTCTTTGAGTCACTGAGAAAATATGCGAAGAAGAGGTTTATGTCTCCAGTCATGCTATTGCTTTGGTCACTAGCAGGATTTCCATGTCTAAACAACTCAAGGCAAAACACAGTTGCAACTCTCATCTGAGCTGTAAAAGCCCATTGGGTTCTCGCGTGTCAACAATTCTGGAAAGTCAAGGCCTACACTTCTGTCTCGACAGCGGCCAGACTTTGCATTTTCTGTCTAGTCAGATGCAAACAGAAAAGATCGTACAGCTCTCTGTTGGCACTTGTTGCCATTCTTCACCAGGCTATAAATCCTCAAAGTCAAAAAGCTAGCGTGTCGTCTTACATATCGCATCTCTTGTTCTTCGTCATTGCGTTCTCTTGTACCGCTTCGGCTGTCGGGGGAGATAAAAGGTCCTATTAAGTGTTCTTCTGGCTACTTCGACCACAGATACATCGTAGTGCTGTAGAGTTTCTCTGATGCTAACTTCCCATCTTGTTTTTGGTCTGCCTCTTGCTCTACGTCCTTCCCCTCGTATGCTATATACATTGTACGTATAGCATCAGAAGGCATTGTCGACAAGATGGCAAGCCATTTGATTCGATGTCTCTGTATGTAATTTAAAATTGGTGCTATGCGGACTCTCTCCCGTATGACCTCATTCCATTCTTCATGTAACTCCTACAGCCTTTTTTCAGTCTTTTTTCCAAGGCTGACATTTTTTTCCTTATGTTTTGTTGTGAGTGACTACGTCTGGCACTCATAGCATAAAATTGTAATTAATATGCTTTAAATTATATTTTTTTTTTTGGGGGGGGGGGGGGGGGGCTGATTAGGAATGCTTCGTGTTGTAAGAGGGGTGGGAAAGAGAGGGGGGGGGGGGGCTAGCTGTCACTATACTTGGCCTGCTTTGCGCATCGGCTGTTTTTTTTCTACGTTCAATTAACAATCTTCATTGAATGTTGTTCAATGATATTTAAACTTAGACCCCTGTTATATATATATATATATATATATATATATATATATATATATATATATATATACACACACACACACACACACACACACACACACACACACTATAATGTGATTGCTTCTTTTTTCCTGTTGACATAACTTCTTTCTTTTCGATGTTGATTCTCATATTATTTAATTTACGTTCTTCATTGATGGGTGTCAGATGTTGTAAATTCATGGCTGTATCTGCAACCAAGGCCTGGTCATCAGCAACAAGTCATTCGTTGATGTTACTTTTCTTTACTCCGTGCTGATACTGTCAGTGCAGGTGACAAATAGGAGTGACAATAAGACACATCCTTGCTTACTCCAGGTGTTACTTTGAATGGTTTAAATATTCTTTGATCTATTTTAACTATGCTTCTACAATCTCTGTCTAGACTTTTACAGACTTCAATGAGGTGTTTACTTACTCCATATCGATCCATTACTTTCCTTATGTTTTGTCTGTCGACTCTGTTGAAAGCTTACAAATCAGTTCTAATAATAAGCGATGCTCTATTCTATTATATGTTTATCGGTCTGCTTCTGGAACCCATATGTTCTTTTGTCAACTGTGGTTCTATCACTACTCGAATACGATAAAGAGCTGAACGTGGTCTTTGTAGATCAAGAGAAGGCATTCGACCGTGTGGACAGAGATGTGCTGTGGAGAATTCTTGACGATTACGGAGTGCAGGGTCAATTATTAGACAACATCAGAGCCCTCTATGAAAAAAGTGAAAGTGCAGTAAGAACATCTAGTGGTCTTTCTGAATGGTTCAAAGTCACAACTGGTGTCAGACAAGGATGTGTACTGTCACCATTACTTTTCATAACATACATGGATAAGATCACTGTAGAAGCAAACCCAGACGTGAATGCTATAAACGAATTACTTTTTGCTGATGATCAAAGCATACTGTATCAAAATGAATATGATCTACAGGAACATCTGACTACTCTCAACAACAGCTGTTTACAACATAATATGAGAATCAGTACAGAAAAAACAGAAGTTATGAAGATCAGCAGAACACACAGGCCACTGAATATAAATGTTGGAAGTGCCAAAATCAAGCAAACCAAAGAGTTCAAATACTTGGGCAGTATATTTACAGAGGATGGAAGAATGGACAGAGAGATAGAAACAAGAATACAGAAAGCAAATGCTGTCACATACCAACTATCACCTCTGCTTAAACATCCAGATATAACCATGAAGACCAAAAGACAATTGATAAACACCATCTTCATTCCAACACTCTGCTACCAGTGCCAGACATGGACAATCAACAAGACCCATGAAAGAAAAATAGAAGCCTGTGAAATGAAATGTCTAAGAAAAGCAGCGAATAAGACCAGACTAGACAGGATAAAGAACATAGACATTAGAAACACTGTCAAAACTACACCATGTTTAGACTACATAGAACATCAAAGAATGAAATGGTTTGGACATCTAACCAGGATGAAAAATGACCAAATAACATCACAAATTTTCAACCAAAGATATAAGGCAAGAGGAAGACCAAAGAAACTGTGGATTGACGGGGTCTCCGAAACCTGCCAAAAGCATGGCCTCAGAACATCAGATGCTGCCCGCCTTGCTTATGACAGGAACTTGCATCTCCCCACAACGCTTAGCGGCATACGTGGAAGGAAAAAGTAAAAAGTAAAGTAAGTAAAGGTTCTATCGCTGGTCGCAGACTCGAGTCTAATAAGCTTAGCTTACATTTTCCCAACATGACTTAACAGAGAGTTTTCCCGATATTGATTGCATTCTCGATTGCTTCCCTTGTTCTTTCACAACTATTGCATGTTGCCAGCCAGTGGGAACAATTTGATGTACCCATGCAGCATTGAATATTCTATGGAGCTATCTAATGTTGTTTTCACTTGCTTCTTTGATTAATAATGTTGGTAATCTATCAACTCCTAATGCTTTATACTTGGGTGACGGCTTAATGACTTCAACTTCTTCAGTAATTAGTGTATTAGGTTCTAGCACTGTTATTTTTTGTACACCCAAGTAAAATCCTCTTCATCTGCTTAAGGCTGAGAGCCAGGACCGCTTTCACATACTCACAAACAGAAAGGGATAAATCCAAGTACAGAGGACATAAATGACGCCGCTCACAGTTTGCTGACGCCATCACTGCTGGAATTCTATGACCATCTGGTCTGTGTGCTCAGGAGAGGCTCCAATCAAAAAGTATCCTCTGGTCTTTTATTGCCTGTGTTCTTTCTTCATTCTCTGAGCGTAGGTAACTGCAGACACAGACCACCCGTTGCACGAAGCTCCGGGCGCAGTTAAGAGTCAGCGGCTGATAAGAGCGAAGTAATGGATGGCTCAGGCAGAAGACACAATTAGACAGGTTTGCATCCTTGAGAACATTAAGTGAGGAGAGCAGTGGGTCAAAGTGACACCTGAACAGTCAGACTTGTGTAGGGTCATAATCACATTGAACCGGGAATGCAGAGACTGACCAGCAGGTGACGCGGAGGTGGAAATTCGGCAATTAATTCATGATAATGCTCGCCCAGAGGAGTTGATTATTTACACAGACGGTTCAGTGTCTTAGCAAATGTTAATGGCCGACGTTTGGTGCAGGAGAGCCTGGCATGCTATACTGCTACATCCAGCTTAGGAATGAAGGAGGCGGTCACTGCAGCTTTTCGCTGGTTAGGGAACACCACACACGCACACAGACACACACACACATACACACGCGCACACACACACAACACACACACACATTTGTAACTGACTCAGAAAGCTTGTTGAAGAAGGTCAGGGCAGGCATGCTTCGTACAGAGTTGAATGCTTCACTGCGAAGGACACGGGTGAGGAATATTGTCTGGATTTGTTTCTTCTGAGAGATGCCGGTGTGTTGGAAAATGAACAGTGGGACGCAACTTTGCGGAATACTGATTCGTGATAACGCAGACGTGGTTAGTGCCTTGTAGGAGAGCACGTACATGTCAGAGGAGCAGTTGGATCACCACAGTTGGTGAGATTGATGCAGCGGGGAGTGACGAGGGGTTCTGGCAGATGCTAGAGGCTTTTAGGAAAGGCAAGACAGATGTTTTATCAGAATGCTACTGGCACAATTAGTATCGGAACTCTGCACTGGCAGCTGAAGATCGGGATGGAGCGCTTATGGAAATGCCGGAAGTGCTGTGATGTCGGTTCTTGAATTACCTAAACTCAACTCTCTAAGCATAGACCTACATTTGGCGCTGAGATGTTTACAATAATCAAAGATAACCAAATCATTGCGCATTTCGTTAAATTGACCAGAGCACCGGCCTCGCCACATCAATTGCTGATACAGTTGAGTTCTCTTTGTAGTTCTCCGCCAGCCTGCTCTGTCTTTACCCTGACGATACACTAACACGTCGTCAACGTACAACAGTGTTTTCTCTGTCCTGTTAACTTTCAACGTACAACAGTGTCTTCCTTTCTCCTGTTATCTTTCAACGTACAACAGTGTCTTCCTTTCTCCTGTGATCTTTCAACGTACAACAGTGTCTTCCTTTCTCCTGTGATCTTTCAACGTACAAAAGTTTTTTTCCTTTCTCCTGTGATCTTTCAACGTACAACAGTGTCATCCTTTTTCCTGGGATCTTTCAGCGTACAACAGTGTCTTCCTCTCTCCTGTGATGTTTCAACGTACAACAGTGTCTTCCTCTCTCCTGTGATCTTTCAGCTTACAACAGTGTCTTCCTCTCTCCTGTGATCTTTCAACGTACAACAGTGTCTTCCTCTCTCCTGTGATCTTTCAACGTACAACAGTGTCTTCCTCTTTTCTGTGATCTTTCAACGCACAACATTTTCTTCCTCTCTCCTGTGATCTTTCGACCTACAACAGTGTCTTCTTCTTTTCTGTGATCTTTCAACATACAACAGTGTCTTCATCTGTCCTGTGATCTTTTGATTTACAACAGTTTCTTTCTCTTTCTGTGATCTTTCAACGTACAACAGTGTCTTCCTCTCTCCTGTTATCTTTCAACTTACAACAGTGTCTTCCTCTGTCCTGTGATCTTTTAATGTACAACAGTGTCTTCCTCTTTTATGTGATCTTTCAACGCACAACAGTGTCTTCTTCTTTCCTGTGATCTTTCAACGCACAACATTTTCTTCCTCTCTCCTGTGATCTTTCAACGTACAACAGTGTCTTCCTCTCTCCTGTTATCTTTCAACTTACAACAGTGTCTTCCTCTGTCCTGTGATCTTTTAACGTACAACAGTGTCTTCCTCTTTTATGTGATCTTTCAACGCACAACAGTGTCTTCTTCTTTCCTGTGATCTTTCAACGCACAACATTTTCTTCCTCTCTCCTGTGATCTTTCAATGTACAACAGTGTCTTTTTCTTTTCTGTGATCTTTCAACATACAACAGTGTCTTCCTCTGTCCTGTGATCTTTCAAACTACAACAGTGTCTTCCTCTCTCCTGTGATCTTTCAACTTACAACAGTGTCTTCCTCTGTCTTGTGATCTTTCAACGTACAACAGTGTCTTCCTCTATCCTGTGATCTTTCAACGTACAACAGTTTCTTCCTCTCTCCTGTTATCTTTCAACGTACAACAGTGTCTTCCTCTGTCCTGTTATCTTTCAACATACAACGGTTTCTTCCTCTCTCCTGTGATCTTCCAACATACAACAGTGTCTTTCTCTTTTCTGTGATCTTTCAACAACAACAGTGTCTTTATCTTTTCTGTGATCTTTCAACGTACAACAGTGTCTTCCTCTTTCCTGTGATCTTCCAGATACATTTTTTCCCTCTCTCCTGTGATCTTTCAACGTACAACTGTGTCTTCCTCTGTCCTGTTATCTTTCAACGTACAACAGTTTCTTCTTCTCTCCTGTGATCTTTCAACGTACACCAGTGTCTTCTTCTTTCTTGTGATCTTCCAACGTACAACAGTGTCTTCCTCTGTCCTGTGATCTTCCAACGTACAACAGTGTCTTCCTCTGTCCTATGATCTTTGCCCCTCTGATTCTTATTGTGTAATCGTTGAATGGTAGGGGAGATGGTGGTCTTCCTGTGGTACGCCAGTATGTTTTGTTGTAGATTCAGAAGTAAAACTGCAACATCTAAAAATAGTGTGTGGTCTTTGCCAGTTTTCGGTAAAGGTATCAGGTAGCTGTCTTATCACTTCTGGTTGATTCTAGCACTGGCTAGACTGTTGTCATACAAATCTGCTAGTTCGTCCAACTCATCTTCACTACACCTAATCATCTCATCCAACTCATCTTCAGTACACCTGATCATCTCATCCAACTCATCTTCAGTACACCTAATCATCTCATCCAACTCATCTTCAGTACACCTAATCATCTCATCCAACTCTTCTTCAGTACACCTAATCATCTCATCCAACTCATCTTCAGTACACCTGATCATCTCATCCAACTCATCTTCACTACACCTAATCATCTCATCCAACTCATCTTCACTACACCTAATCATCTCATCCAACTCATCTTCAGTACACCTGATCATCTCATCCAACTCATCTTCACTACACCTAATCATCTCATCCAACTCATCTTCACTACACCTAATCATCTCATCCAACTCATCTTCAGTACACCTAATCATCTCATCCGACTCATCTTCAGTACACCTGATCATCTCATCCAACTCATCTTCACTACACCTAATCATCTCATCCAACTCATCTTCAGTACACCTAATCATCTCATCCAACTCATCTTCAGTACACCTGATCATCTCATCTAACTCATCTTCAGTACACCTGATCATCTCATCCAACTCATCTTCACTACACCTAATCATCTCATCCAACTCATCTTCAGTACACCTAATCATCTCATCCAACTCATCTTCAGTACACCTGATCATCTCATCCAACTCATCTTCAGTACACCTGATCATCTCATCCAACTCATCTTCAGTACACCTGATCATCTCATCCAACTCATCTTCAGTACACCTAATCATCTCATCCAACTCATCTTCACTACACCTAATCATCTCATCCAACTCATCTTCACTACACCTAATCATCTCATCCAACTCATCTTCAGTACACCTGATCATCTCATCCAACTCATCTTCAGTACACCTAATAATCTCATCATACCTTATACCATCTGGTGCAATATTTTTGTTCTTCGTAGCACGACCTTGGTCTTATCCAACGTCGTTACTTTTTATGGGACCTCCAGCTATCGGGGGTAACCATCTTGTTATAGTTCAGCTTTTCACATTTAAATGGCTGCTCTGCTATGAATGGCGTCATTGAAACTGTGCCCTAAATTTTCGTCAGTTCTCTGCCAGGTGAGTCAGCACTCTGAAAGTAATGAATTCTTCTGTTTTCGACAGCACAGTTCATACTTTTTTGTAGTTTTATTTTATTACTGATGAGCTTTTTTTTTTTTTTTTACACAGCTCTATTCACTTCTCCCTTTTAACCAACTTTGGAATTTTTTAATTCTATCTGGTCCTTTTTGGTTTCCTGTTGATTTTTTATTTGATTTTTTTTTTTAAGAAATGCTGTCGTCTTGTCCACTTAGTTTTCCAGCTACAGTTTGTGCTGTATTTAGTACTCTGTTGGTAAAGACTTTACCGGAAATGTACGGCTGTGTTTGTGTGGGTATTTTCCATTGCCTGGGTCAAGCTTTCTAGTCACATTTGATGTTATATTTAGCACTTGGTACAAGTATGACCGAACCAGGCCTTACCTGCTACAAGTATGATCGAACCAGGCGTCGTCTGCTACAAGTATGACCGAACCAGGCCTCACCTGCTACATGTATGACCGAACCAGGCCTCACCTGCTACAAGTATGACCGAACCAGGCGTCGCCTGCTACAAGTATGACCGAACCAGGCTCACGTGCTACAAGTATGACCGAACCAGGTCTCACCTGCTACAAGTATGACCGAACCAGACGTCGCCTGCTACAAAAAACATTGAAAACCGGTCATTTGAAGACAGTTCTCTCCAAGGTGAGTCTCCCAACGAGCTATAATATCGTTGTTATACGCTAGACGTTCACGAATTGGAAATTGCTGCGCTGGCACAATTCCTCTATAGAATGCCAATATTTATGTGGCCCAAATGGACGGATTCGAGGGATATTCTTCTAGTTCCAGAGCGCTTGCCTCGTCTTTTTCGTCGACTACGTCGACCACGTTGACTTCGAGGCTTGTTTTGTGTGCGAGGCAAAAATGTTTGTCCGCCAACACAACTACACAGTATCGGTAGCTACATACCCTTAAAGAGAAAGTCAAAGATGGTTTCGCACAAATGCATGAACTCCAAAGAACCGGCATAAATCTTGATAAATAATGAGGCCTTCAAACTGTCCTACGCAGACCACAGTCTGCTTTTCACTCCTTTTTAAATAAGCAATAATTTAGTGCAAAAAATGGCATGATGAAAGGACTCACGCTATTGAAGATGACTTGGGTCACTGTTTAGAAACATCACACATCACAGGTATCTATACAGGTGGATGAGTCAGTGTTTAGAAACATCACACATCCCAGGTATCTATACAGATGGATGAGTCAGTGTTAAGAAACATCCACATCACAGTGGATGAGTCAGTGTTTAGAAACATCCACATCACAGGTATCTATACAGATGGATGAGTCAGTGTTTAGAACCACCACACATCACATGTACCTAAACATATGGATGAGTCAGTGTTTAGAAACATCCACATCACAGGTATCTATACAGGTGGATGAGTCAGTGTTTAGAACCATCACACGTCACAGGTATCTATACAGATGAATGAGTCAGTGTTTAGAAACATCCTACATCACAGGTATCTATACAGGTGGATGAGTCAGTGTTTAGAAACATCACATATCACAGGTATCCAAACAGATGGATGAGTCAGTGTTTAGAAACATCACACATCACAGGTATCTTTACAGATGGATGAGTCAGTGTTTAGAGCCATTACACATCACAGGTATCTATACAGTGGATGAGTCAGTGTTTAGAAACATCACACATCACAGGTATCTATACAGGCGGATGAGTCAGTGTTTAGAAACATCCACATAACAGGTATCTATACAGATGGATGAGTCACTGTTTAGAAACATCCACATTACAGGTATCTATACTGGTAAATAAGTCAGTATTTAGAAACAACACGCATCACAGGTATCTATACAGGCGGATGAGTCAGTGTTAGGAAACATCCACATAACAGGTATCAATACAGATGGATGAGTCAGTGTTTAGAACCATCACACATCACATGTATCTAAACATATGGATGAGTCAGTGTTTAGAACCATCACACATCACATGTACCTAAACATATGGATGAGTCAGTGTTTAGAAACATCCACATCACAGGTATCTATACAGGTGGATGAGTCAGTGTTTAGAACCATCACACATCACATGTACCTAAACATATGGATGAGTCAGTGTTTAGAAACATCCACATCACAGGTATCTATACAGGTGGATGAGTCAGAGTTTAGAACCATCACACGTCACAGGTATCTATACAGTTGAATGAGTCAGTGTTTAGAAACATCCCACATCACAGATATCTATACAGATGGATGAATCAGTGTTTAGAAACATTTACATCACAGGTATCAATACCGGCGGATGAGTCAGTGTTTAGAAACATCACACATCACAGGTATCTATACAGATTAATGAGTCAGTGTTCAGAAACATAACACATCACAGGTATCTATAAGATGGATGAGTCAGTGTTTAGAAAGATCCACATCACAGGTATCTATACAGGTGGATGAGTCAGTGTTTAGAACCATCACACATCACTGGTATCTATACAGATGGATGAGTCAGTGTTCAGAAACATCACACATCACAGGTATCTATACAGATGGATGAGTCCGTGTTTAGAAACATTTACATCACAGGTATCTATACAGACGGATGAGTCAGTGTTTAGAAACATCCACATAACAGGTATCTATACAGATGGATGAGTCAGTGTTTAGAAACATCCACATTACAGGTATCTATACTGGTAAATAAGTCAGTGTTTAGAAACATCACACAACACAGTTATCTATACAGATAAATGAGTCAGTGTTTAGAACCATTGCACATCACAGATATCTATACAGTGGATGAGTCAGTGTTTAGAACCATCATACATCACAGGTATCTATACAGATGGATGAGTCAGTGTTTAAAAACATCACACATCACAGATATCTATACAGATGAATGAGTCAGTGTTTAGAAACATTTACATCACAGGTATCTATACAGGCGGATGAGTCAGTGTTTAGAAACATCCACATTACATGTATCTATACTGGTGGATAAGTCAGTGTTTAAAAACATCACACATCACAGGTATCTATAGTCAGTGTTTAGAAAATGAGTCAGTGTATTGAGTCAGTGCTTAGAAACATTACACATCACATCACAGGTATCTATTTACAGGGCGGATGAGTCAGTGTTTAGAAACATCCACATCATACAGACATCACAGGTATCTATACAGATGGATGAGTCAGTGTTTAGAAACATTACACATCACAGGTATCTATACAGTGGATGAGTCAGTGTGTTAAAAACATCCACATCACAGGTATCTATACAGGATGGATGACATCAGTGTTTAGAAACATCCACATAACAGGTATCTATACAGATGGATGAGTCAGTGTTTCAGTGTTTAGAACCATCACACATCACTGGTATCTATACAGATGGATGAGTCAGTGTTTAGAAACATTACACATCACAGGTATCTATACAGATTGATGAGTCAGTGTTTAGAAACATTTTCATCACAGGTATCAATACTGACGGATGAGTCAGTGTTTAGAAACATCCACATAACAGGTATCTATACAGATAAATGAGTCAGTGTTTAGAAACATCCACATAACAGGTATCTATACTGGTGAATAAGTCAGTGTTTAGAAACAACACGCATCATAGGTATCTATACAGGCGGATGAGTCAGTGTTAGGAAACATCCACATAACAGGTATCAATACAGATGGGTGAGTCAGTGTTTAGAAACCTCCACATCACAGGTATCTATACAGAATGATGAGTCAGTGTTTAGAAACTACACGCATCACAGGTATCTATACAGATGGATGAGTCAGTGTTTAGAAACCTCCACATCACAGGTATCTATACAGGTGGATGAGTCAGTGTTTAGAAACCTCCACATCACAGGTATCTATACAGATAAATGAGTCAGCTTTGACCAGAAATAATTCTTACTTTAAGCGTGAGTGCCAGTCATAAAAAAAAAAAAAACGAAAACACCGATCTGCTAAGAATTGTTTGAAAACATCCATTGCTTCGACTAATTAGGGATTTACTTCGAAGTTTGTGTGCGTCGGTCTGAAAGACAAGAAACTAACATTCTGAACAGAAAAGAGCCAGATTTGTAAAACGAATGTGCATACACAATTTAAGTCCTAGAACAAGAATGAAGTTCAGAAGTGGACGATCAGCTGCAACTTACTGCCTGAATCTGTAGCCGGGGAAGGCGAAGAGAAAGATACTAATATCATTGCTTAGAAACAGAAATTATCCTACCAATCCAACCTATAAGATGTTTAGATTTAACTGATTCGGGGAGTTTATTTAATTATCCTTGAGGGATAGTAAAACTTCTTTAGTCCACCCACCCAGTAAAACATCTCTAGTCCCCCCACCCAGTAAAACATCTCTAGTCCACCAACCCAGTAAAACATGTCTAATCCACCCAGCTAGTAAAACATATATAGTCCACCCATACAGCCAGTAAAATATCTTTAGTCCACCCACCCGGCCATTAAAATATCTCTAGTCCATCCACCCAGCCAGTTATACATCTCTAGTCCACCCACGCAGCCAGTAAAACATCTCTAGTCCACTCACCCAGTTGAATATCTATAGTCCACCCACCCAGCCAGTAAAATATCTCTAGTCCACCCACCAGCCAGTAAAACATCTCTAGTCATCCCACCCAGTAAAAGATCTTTAGTCCACCCACCCACCAAGTAAAGGATCTCTAGTCCACCCAGCCAGTAAAACATCTCTTGTCCACCCAGCAGTAAAACATCTCTAGTCCACCCACCCAGCCAGTAAAACATCTCTAGTCCACCCACCCACCCAGTAAAACATATCTAGTCCACTCAGCCAATAAAACATCTCAAGTCCACCCACCCAGAAAAACTTCTCTAGTCCCCCCACATAGCCAGTAAAACATCTCTAGTCCACCCACCCAGCCAGTAAAACATCTCTAGTCCACCCACCCACCCAGTAAAACATATCTAGTCCACTCAACCAATAAAACATCTCAAGTCCACCCACCCAGCCAGTAAAACATCTCTAGTCCACCCACCCAGCCAGTAAAACATCTCTAGTCCACCCACCAGCCAGTAAAACATCTCTAGTCCACCCACCCAGCCAGTAAAACATCTCTAGTCCCCCCACATAGCCAGTAAAACATCTCTAGTCCACCCACCCAGCCAGTAAAATATCTCTAGTCCAACCACCCATCCAGTTAAACATCTCAAGTCCACCAACCCAGCCATACAAGTCGCAATACTTTTCTTCTAATGGCTCAGTGCATGCAATCTGCTTCGGCACACTGATGAGCAGTTTGAATTAACCGTTGGCACTTCATTCAATCACTCAATCAATCACTCAATCAGTCACTCAATCAATCGCTTAATCAATCACTTAATCAATCCTCATCGCTCCAAGAGGAACATGAGGTAAAGACAAACTGTCGCCAGTCAATTTGATCCCGAGCCATCCTCTCTATCTCCAGTTGTGTCCTACACGTAGCTTTGAGTTCAGCCTCAGAGGTCCGCCTCCAAATGCCTATGTGCCTGCCTTTTCCTCGCTGCCCTTGTTGTGTCCATTGTATTGCCTGTCTCTGCACTGCATGTATCGCAAATTTGCATTCAGAAACATTCCAGCTCACAGCTGACCTTTTTCATGCATTTTAGTTTTTCAGAATAGCCATTCCCCCCCCCCTCTTTGGATACAGGCCGGCAGCCTGATCATACGTTCAGTAACTTTTTGGAAGCATTCACTCCACCTACCTACTTCTAGTTTAAATGTTCTGTTTTACCTCTCGAGCATGTTTTCCTCACTTGGCACGCATCAGCCTAACTGCACGTTTGTCTGAAGTTAATATAATAATTAATCAATGCCATCCATTCACGCTCTTGTCTATTATTTATGTTTAGTGGTTGACGCCCTAATTTTTCCTACAGCAAGGAGGAAGTTACTCCTTTCCAAATGGAACGATGGAGGATTGCCATACTGGTGTATGAGGTCACTTGTATCTAGTTGGACAGTTTTGGTTATTTTATCGAACATTGACGGAGCTATTGGGACATTAGTGGTTTTGGTCGACATATGTTATTTTGTTTCTGCAATTTTTCTTACTTAGTTGTGCCTTGTCGGAGCCTCAGAATTGCATTATTATCTCTCCGTATTATAGCTTTTCATTCTTTCTTAGCGTTATTGTGGTTGTTGCTTTTTGTAAAGTAATTACAGAAAAGCAGAGATTTTGCAGTTTAGAGAGAGAGAGAGAGAGAGAGAGAGAGAGAGAGAGAGAGAGAGAGAGAGAGAGAGAGAGAGAAAGAGAGAGAAAGACAAAGAGAAAGACAGAGAGAGAGAGAAAGAGAGAGAGTGGGGGGAGCAGAAAAAAATATGCAAGATTGATCGCAAAATAGCTACCGAAAAAAAAATACGAATGTTATGAAATAATAAAGACACCATGAACAAACAGTAACAAATGAGTTTCAGCAGAAAAATCTACCTGTCCGATACACCGCAAAATGCTCACTGCTTGTGTCACCGCAATAGTAATCTGACCCGGTGAAAGGACACTTAATCCTGCAGCTGCCTAGGCCTGCTTGTCTATACAAAGTCATATTTGCATCACAGCAACATCTAGACTTCTTCTGTGGAAGAATATTCAGAGCATTTCAAATAGTCCTTTTCGCACTTAATGGGTAACTCGTATTTATGGGTAACTCGTATTTATGGGTAACTCGTATTTATGGGTAACTCGTATTTATGGGTAACTCGTATTTATGGGTAACTCGTATTTATGGGTAACTCGTATTTATGGGTAACTCGTATTTATTTTTAGACTTTCTTTGTGATTGTAAACAAAATGTGTTTATTAATTTACGTGTCGAAAAAAAAACGCTTCTTTATGTCTGTCATTTGCAAATGATTATTTTTCTAATTGCTATCATTCTTTTAAATTCTTTCTTTCTCTGATATACACTTCTCTATTTAATTCTTACTTTCTGTTCTTGATGTCTTGACTTCAACGCCCTGTCAAGTAACCGGGAAGCATGGCAGAATTGACTGCCTTTCTCACACAGAAGGCCATGGAGTGTTGTAATATAAATAAAAAATAAAAACATAACACACATACAGTATTTAGGACACAAACGCTAACAAGTGGCGGATGACTGATTTAAGAATAGATATCGCAGTACACGTGACGTACCTGAAAATGCTCTGTCTCCCAATGCAAAGGAATTAAGGTCTAGTTGTTAACTGTTCCCTTAGCAAATGTGTTAAGGTCTAGTTGCTACCTGTTCCCTTAGCAAATGTGTTAAGGTCTATTTGCTAACTGTTCCCTTAGCAAATGTGTTAGGGTCTAGTTGCTAACTGTTCCCTTAGCAAATGTGTTAAGGACTAGTTGCTAACTGTTCCCTTAGGAAATGTGTTAAGGTATAGTTGCTACCTGTTCCCTTAGCAAATGTGTTAAGGTCTAGTTGCTAACTGTTCCCTTAGCAAATGTGTTAAGTTCTAGTTGCTAACTGTTCCCTTAGCAAATGTGTTAGGGTCTAGTTGCTAACTGTTCTCTTAGCAAATGTGTTAATGTCTAGTTGCTAACTGTTCCCTTAGCAATTGTGTAAAGGTCTAGTTGCTAACTATTCCCTTAGCAAATGTGTTAAGGTCTAGTTGCTAACTGTTCCCTTAGCAAATGTGTTAAGGTCTAGTTGCTAACTGTTCCCTTAGCAAATGTGTTAAGGTCTAGTTGCTAACTGTTCCCTTAGCAAATGTGTTAAGGTCTATTTGCTAACTGTTCCCTTAGCAAATGTGTTAGGGTCTAGTTGCTAACTGTTCCCTTAGCAAATGTGTTAAGGTCTAGTTGCTAACTGTTCCCTTAGCAAATGTGTTAAGGTCTAGTTGCTAACTGTTCCCTTAGCAAATGTGTTAGGGTCCAGTTGCTAACTGTTCCCTTAGCAAATGTGTTAGGGTCTAGTTGCTAACTGTTCCCTTAGCAAATGTGTTAAGGTCTAGTTGATAACTGTTCCCTTAGCAAATGTGTTAGGGTCTAGTTGCTAACTGTTCCCTTAGCAAATGTGTTAAGGTCTAGTTGCTAACTGTTCCCTTAGCAAATGTGTTAGGGTCTAGTTGCTAACTGTTCCCTTAGCAAATGTGTTAAGGTCTAGTTGCTAACTGTTCCCTTAGCAAATGTGTTAGGGCCTAGTTACTACTAGATCTAGTTGCTACCTGTGCCCTTAGCAAATGTCTTAGGTTCTAGTTGCTACCTGTTCTCTTTGCACATTGATTATACAAACATAGTTATTTTCCTCCCTTACTGGATCTACTCCTTATTCCATTTCTTTTGAAAGAATCGGTTCATAAATGGTCTTCAGAATGTCTTTTTTATCCAATATGAGGGTTCACGTAACTATCACGTTTGCAGCCCCCCCCCCCCCCCTCTTTCAATCTGTACTTTCAATCCCTCACACTCCTATATCTCGTGGACATTATATCTACACGAGTTATTGTGTCAGTGGACTAGGATGATTCTAAACAGTGTACCCGACCCGGTCGTGAATATATTGCCCCAGCAGTCAGGCCGTGGTGAAACTCAGTAGTCAGTGTATACTCTTGCACAGACTCAGAGGCGTGCGTCACCACAATGAACCTTCATTTGCCGGTGAAATTTGGAAAGGCTTCAATGATTAAGAAAAACGAATAATAGATGACTGCCTATATGGTAAATACAAAAAAAGTTTTTAAACACTCGTTACGATGTCATCGAGTTCATCTGCACCGTGCTTAGCACTTTGTGCATCCTCGCCAACATTATTGACATATTACATACATCTGCACCGTGCTTAGCACTTTGTGCATCCTCGCCAACATTATTGACATATTACATACATCTGCACCGTGCTTAGCACTTTGTGCATCCTCGCCAACATTAATGACATATTACACACATCTGCATAAGTGAGTAAGTAGGTAAAGGTCCCCTTTCCAAGCCTTTAGGCGTATTGGGAATATAAGACTATACCTAAATGTGTATAGACCGATCAGCACTTGGTGGGTGATGTGATCAGCATCACGCCGACCGCTTTACTTTTCAGGACTGCACCTGGTACCCACTCAAAGCTGGGTCGACCTGGGAGTCATTGTCATTAAAAAAAAATGTCTGGCTCCCTCAGGACGCGAACCCACGATCTTCCGATCCTAGTCGCCGTTGAAACGGCGACTCCCATATAATGTCAGGTTACTGTAATTTTTCTAACACTTTTAAAGTTTAAAGTGAAGCCCCCTCGCATGTTGAAAAATACAGGTGACAATACTGATCCCGGAGTCAGGCCAGCACAAATATGTGGGTTGACTCTGATCTCCATGTTTCACAACTGTGTATTTCCATGAGTCAGGCCAGCACAAATATGTGGGTTGACTCTGATCTCCATGTTTCACAACTGTGTATTTCCATGAGTCAGGCCAGCACAAATATGTTGGTTGACTCTGATCTCCATGTTTCACAACTGTGTATTTCCATGAGTCAGGCCAGCACAAATATGTGGGTTGACTCTGATCTCCTTGTTTCACAACTGTGTATTTCCATGAGTCAGGCCAGCACAAATATGTGGGCTGACTCTGATCTCCATGTTTCACAACTGTGTATTTCCATGAGTCAGGCCAGCACAAATATGTGGGTTGACTCTGATCTCCATGTTTCACAACTGCGTATTTCCATGAGTCAGGCCAGCACAAATATGTGGGTTGACTCTGATCTCCATGTTTCACAACTGCGTATTTCCATGAGTCAGGCCAGCACAAATATGTGGGCTGACTCTGATCTCCATGTTTCACAACTGCGTATTTCCATCCCAATAACGTGCCAAGGTTTCGTGTTGCAGTTCATCGTTTACTGCATTAGATGGTGAAGTCAGCGTCGGTACAGACATCTTCAGGATCTATTGCCACAGCAACTGTTTCTGGATGTCTCTAAAATCCTCTATACACATGACATTCAGCATTGCCCTATGTTATCTTGATGGCCTATCGTTGTCCATGATGTCCGGTAGCATGCCCATTTTTTATATTTGTGACCCCACTTGCCTAGCCACAATTTTCTTGAATCTTTCATTATGTCAACATAGAGCAACATGTCAACTTTGGCATCAACGAATACATTTGTAATATGGTCACCAGCGAACAATGTCACTGTTTTGACTAATCTGTGAAGATTTTTCGTTTGTCAACTTTTGGGCTTTTTTTATTCACTGACGGATATTTCTTTAAGTCATGTCAAATGGTCTATTGACTCCTCTTGGTAAGTCATGCATGCACATCTGTACACCTGAAGTTGCCTGATGTCTTTTACTCTGGAACGCTTCAAATTACTCGATGTTATTTTGGTCTTACTGTATATTTCAGAAACTTGTCAACTTATGTGAGGGCTCCTCACATCCAACAGGGCCCCTCACAACAAAAAGGTCTCCTCACATCAAACAGGGCCCCTCACAACAAAAAGGTCTCCTCACATCAAACAGGGCCCCTCACAACAAAAAGGTCTCCTCACAACAAACAACGCCCCTCACAACAAACAGGGCTCCTCACAACACACAGTTTAGGAACCACAACTTTAACAGAAGGAGAAAGTAAACAAAGAACTCACACTGACTGATGCATACTGATAACTGCTGCATTCACAAAGGTCCATGCACATAGGAACAGACATGCGCTGTGTTGCTATTTCAACTGTGCACTTGTCCCTGTAGTTGTTGTTGATGTAACAGCCTTGGAATGCTTTTGTAACAATTAAGGCGAAAAAATGTTATTGTTTGTTTACTACAACATTGCTGTTTTGTTTTATCTTAAAACGATCATTTGTAGATTAGACAACCAGCGTGCCTGTTAAGTTAGTGCTCATAGGGTTCCAATTCTTACGGAGGCTACTTGAGTTGCCAGGTAACAGCCTCGTTTTGTGAAGCAGTCACCCGGGACATTACTGACCACGTCAATGCCAGAGTTGAAAGATTGTCGGTTGTGGTGGTGGTGTTGGTGGTGTTAGTGGTGGTGGTGTTGGTGGTGTTAGTGGTGGTGGTGTTGGTGGTGGTGGTAGTAGTGGTGGGGGTGGTGATGGAAATGTATCAGTCCGTTTGATTTGTCCCATTAAGATCGTGGATTCGTTTTACAAATACCACTCACCCACGAGTTCAATATTTACGGAGGTCCCTATTGGTCGCCATCGAAGCTACACAGCTCGTACTTTGTACGACACTCTCGGCCATTAGCTAGAAGTTCTTTGGGTTACAATTTTGTTCAGTAAAGTCGATCGTCTCGATTTTAATTGTAACTTAGCAGAGTTACAATTAGTTTGATAAAATACCTAGCTAGTAACGTATATGCAGCCTTATGCAAGAATATTGGACCTCTACTACAAAATTATAGTTCGTTCAACAATAGATAAACAGACATGCGAGTCGTTTTCTCGAATGTTGAATTAAGAATCGACATCACAGCACTCGGGACGTCCCATAAGAGCGCCGTCCCCACCTTCAGCAGCAAACGAAGAGATTGTCTGATTGTATATATCCGTCTCGCCTTCCCTTAAGCTATATTGCGGCCCCTGGCAAAAGCCAGAGTAGGGCATCAAATAACGAAATATTTCGTCCTAAAAAGAAGTATAGACACGTTCATAAGCTGATGTAATATACTGCACATGTTTATTAACTGGTGCCTAAGTAGAACACACAAATCACAAATATATGACATAATCATTACCGTGAGGATTTTGGAAAGAACTAACAAATTCTAGTTAACATGAGGTAAGGAGCATACTGATGCTAGAAAGGGAAGAGAGAGAGAGAGAGAGAGAGAGAGAGAGAGAGAGAGAGAGAGAGAGAGAGAGAGAGAGAGAGAGAGAGGGAGAAGGAGAGAGGGAGAAGGAGAGAGGGAGTTAGAAAGGGTGGTGAAAGAATCACAATATAAAAGAGATCTAAAAATCCTTGTCACACACACACAAACCCCCCCCCCCACACACACACACACACAACCCCCCCCCCTCCCCACCCCCCCCCACACACACACAAAACCCGCAAACACACACACACAAAAACCCCCCACACACACACACGACCCCCCCACACACACACAAAACCCACACACACACAAAACCCCCACATACACACACACAAAACACCACCACACACACACAAAACCCCTACACACACAAAACACCCACACACACAAAACCCACACACACACCCCCACACACACAAAACCCACACACACACAACCCCCCCCCCACACACACACATACACAACCCCCCCACACACAAAAACCCCCACACACAACCCCCCCACACACACCCAAAATCCACACACACACAAAACCCCCCCACACACCCCACAACCCCCCAACACACACACAAAACCCCCACACACACAACACCCCCCCCCCCACACACACACACTCACACACACACACACACAACCCCCCCACACATACACAAAACCTCACACACACACACACAGCCACCCCCACACACACAAAATCCCCACACACACACACAAAACCCACACACACACAAAACCTAAACACACACACAAACCCCCCCCCCTCCACGCACACACACACACACACACAAACCCCACACACACACAAAACCCCTATACACACAAAACCCCCACACACACAAAACCCTGACACACACACAACCCCCACCCACACACACACACCCACACACACACAAACTTCCCCCCCCCCACACACACACACACACACACACACAATGCTAGAAAGGGAAAGAGGAGAGAGAGAGAGAGAGAGAGAGAGAGAGAGAGAGAGAGAGAGAGAGAGAGGGAGAAGAGAGAGGGAGAAGGAGAGAGGGAGTTAAAAAGGGTGGAGAAAGAATCACAATATAAAAGAGATCTAAAAATCCTTGTCACACACACACACCCCCCCCCCCCCCACACACACACAAACCCCCAAAACACACACACACAAAAACCCCCACACACACACGACGACCCCCCCCCCACACACACACACAAAACCCACACACACACAAAACCCCCACATACACACACACAAAACACCACCACACACACAAAACCCCTACACACACAAAACACCCACACACAAAAACCCCACACACACACCCCACACACACAAAACCCACACACACACAACCCCCCCCCCCCCCACACACACACACACACATACAACCCCCCCCCACACACACACACACACACACACACACACAAAACCCCCACATACACTGGACTGCACGTTACTTGTTTACCCTTTTGTGATGCAAACATAAAAAGAAAATACTAAGAGTGATCAACAATATTGGGGCAGACATCAACCTAGAATGATGTGGAATAAACCAAGACAAGCAATTATTTAGACAGCATTTCAATTCTAGAGCAGCTTATCTCCCTTTAAAACATCTCATTTTCCTCTGGTTAGTTCTCATCCAGATTATCCAAAGTGCACAGAAAGAGTCTTTGCTTTTATGGTCTCAACTTTTAAAGGGAGATAAGCTTCTCTAGAACTGAAATGCTATTTACATTATTACTTTTCTTGGTTTATTGTCTTGTGTGATACCGCGCTTCTGCGTCGATGTACATTTGTTTGTGTGGAAACTATAAGCTATAGATCTTTCTCGAAAACGAAAAAGATCAACGGAAATGGCTGGTATTCAGCACCCTGATCATCTACGGACTAAAGAACACCGCTCTTTTTGCGTCATGACAATTCTAAAAATAAAAAACAAAAACATTGCGATATAAGAGGAAGTTTTCCGGCAAGCATCACTTCAGATTCTCAGCTAGTTAATATCCTTTGGATATTCTCTACAGGTGATGCCGATGTGTTGGGACATGAGCAGGCACATAAACTGGTCGGTTCTGCACCACTTCGTGGTGAATTGGTGTATGACAAGCAAGACGTTGTGGGAGCTCTCTGGGAGCGATTGTAAAATGCAGAAGCAAATAACGGTCTGAGGAGAAGGGCGCTGCAAGCAGTTCATGGGAGATCTGTCTGACGCTCAACATGCAAGGAAAGGGCGAGACGGATATACAATCAGACAGTTACTGGTGCCATCGAAATAGGAACTCTTCGTTTGCTGCTGAAGATGGGGACGGAGCCCTTCTGGTGGTGTCCCGACTGGTATGATGTCGATTCCTAACCAAGTTTTGCCAAAGCGATAACCTCAGATGCGTGTGTTACAGAAGTTTGCAGAAGATGATATCGTGACAGTGGATGAGGTCAAGGCTGTGCTACAACGAACAAATAATAGTGCATCAGGTCCAGATGGTGTAAGATGTGATGACATTAGTAGGTGTACTGAAGATGAGCTGAAAGAGCTAACTGAAGATGAGCTGAAAGAGCTAACTGAAGATGAGCTGAAAGAGCTAGCAGATATGTACAACAATAGTATTGTGAGTGCTAGTATCAGTGAAGACTGGTTACACAGCTATCTGATACACCTGCCAAAACCTGGCAAAGATTGCACAATAATTCAGGCATATAGGATAATCACTATGCAAAATACTGTAGGCAAGCTTTCAGAAAAGATAATCGCCAGCAAAATTTCACACCAGCTTGAGAGGCACGGTCTTCTTCCAAATACCTTGGAAAATAACAGGACCCGGAAGAACACTGTCATATGCTGACCATATGTTAGATTATGGCACGTCGAGTAAAAGTATGGCACGTCGAGTAGAAGTATGACACGTCGAGTAGAAGAATGACACGTCGAGTAGAAGTATGACACGTCGAGAAGTATGGCACGTCGGGTAGATGTATGACACGTCGAGTAAAAGTATGGCACGTCGAGTAGAAGTATGGCACGTCGAGTAAAAGTATGGCACGTCGAGTAAAAGTATGGCACGTCGAGTAAAAGTATGGCACGTCGAGTAGAAGAATGACACGTCGAGTAGAAGTATGACACGTTGAGAAGTATGGCACGTCGGGTAGAAGTATGACACGTCGAGTAGAAGTATGACACGTCGAGTAGAAGTATGACAGGTCGAGTAGAAGTATGACACGTGGGGCAGAAGTATGGCACGTCGAGTAGAAGTATGACACGTCGAGTAGAAGTATGACACATCGAGTAGAAGTATGACACGTCAAGTAGAAGTATGACACGTCGAGTAAAAGTATGACACGTCGAGTAGAAGTATGGCACGTCGAGTAAAAGTATGACACGTCGAGTAGAAGTATGACACATCGAGTAGAAGTATGGCACGTCGAGTAAAAGTATGACACGTCGAGTAGAAGTATGACACATCGAGTAGAAGTATGGCACGTCGAGTAGAAGTATGACACGTGGAGTAGAAGTATGGCACGTGGAGTAGAAGTATGGCACGTCGAGTAGAAGTGACAAGTCGAGCAGAAGTAAGGAACGTCGAGTAGAAGTATGGCACGTCTGGTAGAAGTATGACACGTCGAGTAGAAGTATGGCACGTCAAGTAGAAGTATGACACGTCGAGTAGAAGTATGACACGTCGAGTAGAAGTATGACAGGTCGAGTAGAAGTATGACACGTGGGGCAGAAGTATGGCACGTGGAGTAGAAGTATGGCACGTCGAGTAGAAGTATGGCACGTGGGGCAGAAGTATGACACGTGGGGCAGAAGTATGGCACGTCGAGTAGAAGTATGGCACGTCGAGTAGAAGTATGACACATCGAGTAGAAGTATGACACGTCAAGTAGAAGTATGACACGTGGAGTAGAAGTATGACACGTGGAGTAGAAGTATGACACGTCGAGTAGAAGTATGACACGTCGAGTAGAAGTATGGCACGTGGAGTAGAAATATGGCACGTGGAGTAGAAGTATGGCACGTCGAGTAGAAGTATGACACATCGAGTAGAAGTATGGCACGTCGAGTAGAAGTATGACACGTGGAGTAGAAATATGGCACGTGGAGTAGAAGTATGGCACGTCGAGTAGAAGTGACAAGTCGAGCAGAAATAAGGAACGTCGAGTAGAAGTATGGCACGTCGAGAAGAAGTATGGCACGTCGAGTAGAAGTATGGAAAGTCGAGTAGAAGTATGGCACGGTGAGGAGAAAGCCGAAAGGAGTCCGGATCGTTGCCCTACCTCCTTTCAACTAGGAAAACCTCTAGAACTGGCTCCTGGAATGTTAGAACTTTGTACGATGTAGGAAGAAGAACGGAAGTAGGAAGGGAAATAAAACATTATACAATTAGTAATTTAGGATTTTGTGAACCTAGATGGACCGGGGCGGAGAAAACTTATTATAAATGCATGGAAAACTATTATGTTCGCAGGACATAACAGGACTATTCTCTCCGCGGTGAGAAAACAGAGGACAATATAACTAAAATGTCTTTGCAGTGGAACACACAGGGGCATAGAAATAAAGGAAGATCTCAAAACACACGGAGAAGGGAGCTAGAGAGTGGAGTTAAAAACATGGTGAAGACATAGCAAAGGATAGAACCACTTGGTGAAGACATAGCAAAGGATAGAACCACTTGGCCTCAGTTAGCTGATGGCCTATGCTCCACTGGCGGTAAACAGAAAAAAAATTATTAATAATAATAAAGAGGACAAAGAAAAAGAAGAAGAAGATATGCATACATACTAGTGTTTGTTTGTTTGTGTATACATATATACATACATATTACCAGTATTGATATCCTTGTGCGTGAGGTGGGTGTACTGAGGTTCTTCAATGTATCCTGAGCAAAAGAAACATGTTAAGTATAATACTTATGTATCATTACAATTCTTTCATTCATTTATTATCCTGTAGTGTCATTTATGTCACATAAGGATCTTGGTCTATTCCTCGATTCCCTTCTATCCTGTAGTGTCATTTATGTCACATATGGCTGGCAGTCTATTCCTCGATTCCCTTCTATCCTATGCAGTCAGTTCAACTTCTTGGATGGAATTCAATCCGGCAGCTTTGGCCTCCCTCATCAACGTTTATCTTAGGGTTTCTTTTGGACGTCCTTCATTCTCTGATCCCTCTATTTCCATTTTAAATTTTTTTTTAGTGATTCTCTGTTGGTTTCTGTGCAGGATGTGTCCAATATAGCGCCATCTTCTCTGTCTCAGAACTGTTGTGGTACTAACGGTTGCCAAGACTTTTTTGTAATTTCTTTACTTCTTTTTAACTTAGTTTATTTTCATCATTTCCCTCATACATTTGTTGTCGAATGCATTTAACTTGTCTTTAGTGGTTCTCCAACGTTAACTTGTACATGCCACAAATGAAATAGCATTTGAGTGAAAATACGTAACTTGATTTAAAAAAAAAAAAAAATTCAGTTTAGAGTTACTTTTTTGTTCAAGCTAATAAGAGCTGCTGATACATTGCCAGTGCGCGTCATATTTTTCTTCTTTGCATTCCTTTACTATCAAAATGACTATCTAATTAAGGAAATTGATATGTGACTTTCATTACTGTTGACTCTTGTACCCTTTAAGTCTGTCACTTTCATTACTGTTGTCTCTAGTATTCTTCAGATCTGTCACTTTCATTACTGTTGCCTCTAGTACCCTTTAGGTCTGTCACTTTCATTACTGTTGTCTCTAGTACCCTTTAGGTCTGTCACTTTCATTACTGTTGTCTCTAGTACCCTTTAAGTCTGGCACTTTCATTACTGTTGCCTCTAGTACCCTTTAGGTCTGTCACTTTCATTACTGTTGCCTCTAGTACCCTTTAGGTCTGTGACTTTCATTACTGTTGTCTCTAGCACCCTTTAGGTCTGTCACTTTCATTACTGTTGCCTCTAGTACCCTTTAGGTCTGTGACTTTCATTACTGTTGTCTCTAGCACCCTTTAGGTCTGTGACTTTCATAATTGTTGTCTCTAGTACCCTTTAGGTCTGTGACTTTCATTACTGGTCTCTAGTACCCTTTAGGTCTATGGCTTTCATTACTGTTGTCTCTAGTACCCTTTAGGTCTGTGACTATCATTACTGGTCTCTAGTACCCTTTAGGTCTGTGGCTTTCATTACTGGTGTCTCTAGTACCCTTTAGGTCTGTGACTTTCATTACTGTTGTCTCTAGTACCCTTTAGGTCTGTGACTTTCATTCCAGTTGTCTATAGCACCCTTTAGGTCTGTGACTTTCATTACTGTTGTCTCTAGCACCCTTTAGGTCTGTGACTTTTATTACTGTTGTCTCTAGCACCCTTTAGGTCTGTAACTTTCATTATTGGTGTCTCTAGTACCCTTTAGGTCTGTGACTTTCATTACTGGTGTCTCTAGTACCCTTTAGGTCTGTGACTTTCATTACTGGTGTCTCTAGTACCCTTTAGGTCTGTGACTTTCATTACTGTTGTCTCTAGCACCCTTTAGGTCTGTGACTTTTATTACTGTTGTCTCTAGTACCCTTTAGGTCTGTAACTTTCATTAATGGTGTCTCTAGTACCCTTTAGGTCTGTGACTTTCATTACTCGTGTCTCTAGTACCCTTTAGGTCTGTGACTTTCATTACTGTTGTCTCTAGTACCCTTTAGGTCTGTAACTTTCATTAATGGTGTCTCTAGTACCCTTTAGGTCTGTGACTTTCATTACTGGTGTCTCTAGTACCCTTTAGGTCTGTGACTTTCATTACTGTTGTCTCTAGCACCCTTTAGGTCTGTGACTTTCATTACTGTTGTCTCTAGTTCCCGTTAGGTCTGTGACTTTCATTACTGGTGTCTCTAGTACCCTTTAGGTCTGTGACTTTCATTACTGTTGTCTCTAGTTCCCTTTAGGTCTGTGACTTTCATTCCTGGTGTCTCTAGTACCCTATAGGTCCGTCACTTTCATTCCTGGTGTCTCTAGTACCCTTTAGGTCCGTCACTTTCATTACTGTTGTCTCTAATATTCTTCAGGTCTGTGACTTTCATTACTGTTGTCTCTAGTATCCTTTAAGTCTGTGACTTTCATTTCTGGTGTCTCTAGTACCCTTTAGGTCTGTGACTTTCATTTCTGGTGTCTCTAGTACCCTTTAGGTTTGTGACTTTCATTACTGTTGTCTTTAGTACCCTTTAGGTCTGTGACTTTCATTTTTGGTGTCTCTAGTACCCTTTAGGTCTGTGACTTTCATTACTGGTGTCTCTAGTACCCTTTAGGTCTGTGACTTTCATTTTTGGTGTCTCTAGTACCCTTTAGGTCCATGACTTTCATTCCTCGTGTCTCTAGTACCCTTTAGGTCTGTGACTTTTATTCCTGGTGTCTCTAGTACCCTTTAGGTCTGTGACTTTTATTCCTGGTGTCTCTAGTACCCTTTAGATCTGTGACTTTCATAACTGTTGTCTCTAGTACCCCTTAGGTCTGTGACTTTCATTACTGCTGTCTCTAGTACCCTTAGGTCTGTGACTTTCATTACTGTTGTCTCTAGTATCCTTTAGGTCTGTGACTTTCATTACTGTTGTCTCTAGCACCCTTTAGGTCTAGGAATTATTTACTTGGGTGGGAAGGAATATAGTAAGGGAGTTGGTATTATTTTAGATCCAAAGAACTCAAAAACTGTTAAAGGATTTTGGACAATATCTGATAGAGTACTATTAGTAAAACTTCGCGGCAGACCGTTTGACATCAACTTAGTACAGATTTATGCCCCAACAGCAGATAGTTCAGAGGAAGATATTGACGCATTTTATGACGAGTTAGACATGGCTGTTGATCAATGCAAAAATTGTGAAGTAACAATGGTACTTGGAGATTTCAACGCGAAAGTAGGAAGTGAGAAAGTGTACACAATAACGGGTGGCTATGGCCTAGGAGAAAAGTATGTGAGAGGTGACAGATTAATAGCATGGGCTGAGTCGCGCAGCATGATAATAGGTAACACCTGGTTTAAACACCATCCTCGAAGATTGTGGACTTGGAAAAGTCCTGGTAATAATGTCCGCAATCAGATTGATTATATTTTGTTTTCAAGAAGATTCCAGAGCAGCTTAGTTGGAGCAAAAACTAGACAAGGGGCAGACTGCTTTAGTGACCATGTTCCAGTTGTAGGAAAAATTAGAATAAAACTAAAGAACATTAGAAAAACACAACAGAACATCAAGTTAAATTTAGGAATTCTTAGAACGGATAGAGAAATTAAGGAACAGTAGAATGTCACTGTACAAAACCGGTATAATGCAATGGAAATTATACAGACTATTGATGAACAGTAAGATGGATATGTTGCGTGAGTCAATTCAGCAGACATCAAAAGAGAAAATCCCACCAACCCATAGAGTTGCAAAAAAGAAATGTCAACCGAAATTCTGCAGTTGATGGATGAAAGAACGAAGAAAAAGAATGATAAAAAAGAATACTCTAGAATACAAAAAGAAAAAGTGAACAAATGCAAAATGGCTAAAGAAGCCTAGCTGAATCAAATGTGTACAGAGATTGGGGAAAATCACAGGAAAAACTCACATTCCATGTACCACAGATAAATTTGTTAACAGGAAAGATGACACGTAGCAGCACTGGATGTTTGAAATCAAAAGAGGTTGACTTATTAATGGGACATAGTAATATAATTAACAGATGGACAGAGTATATAGGGGAATTGTATGATGATAATAGACCAGACGTAGAACTGCAGACCAACAATGATTGCCCACCAATAATGACTGCAGAAGTTGAGTATGCATCATATGAAGAAAGAAAAAGCACCCGGGCCAGACAACATCTCACTGGAAGTAATCCAAGCACTGGGAAATTTTGGAGTTGAAATAATAACTAAACTTTTAAATACTATTTATAATAGTGGGTATATTCCAAACGACCTTTTAAAATCCATATTTATAGCTCTGCCAAAGAAACCAGGCACTTTAAAATGTGAAGACCATCGCACAATAAGTCTTATGAGTCACATGACTAAGATTTTACTGAGAATAATTATGTGAAAAATAAGATACAAAATTAAACCAGAAATTAGCGATGAACAATGTGGATTTGTAGAAGGAAAAGGTACAAACAATGCAATTTACATCCTAAGGACATTGTCAGAAAGACCTATAGAAGTAAAGACTGATTTGTACTTATGCTTCATAGACTATACAAAAGCATTTGACTGTGTGAAGCATGAAGAAGTAATTAAACTGTTAGAAAAATTAAACATTGATGGGAAAGGTTTACCAATAATAAAGAATATGTATTGGCAGCAAACAGCAGCTATAAGAATTAACAACTGTTTAGGTACATTTCAAAGCATAAAGAGGGGCGTACGACAATGATGTGTACTTTCACCTGATTTGTTTTCAATATACAGTGAATATTTAATGAGATCTTTAATTGATATGCCCGGAAATGTGGTTGGTGGGCACAATATAAACAATTTACGTTATGCTGATGACACAGTCTTGATAGCAACAAGTCAGAAAGAATTACAGGAAACGATAGACATTGTGGTGTTAGAAAGTGAAAGACTGGGCCTCAGTTTGAATAATGGGAAGACAGAAGTAATGGTGGTATCAAAGAAACAAATTATTCCTAATTGTGTAATAAAAGTCAATGTTGTTATTTTAGGAAAAGTACAGAAATTTAAGTAACTGGGCACATGGAAAACAACAAATGGAAGGTGCATAACTGAAATAAGAAACAGAATTGGACAGGCAAAACTGCATTTTATAAAATGAAAAACATCTTGTGGAATATGTCCTTGTCATTGAGAGTTAGAAAAGAAAATTCTTGCTTGCTACATACATCCAGTTTTAACATATGGATGTGAATCCTGGACAATCGGTAGGCAGGCCAAACAATTTTTGGAGGCTTCAGAGATGTGGTTTTACAGAAGAATGCTTACAATACCTTGGACAGCCAAAAAGAGCAACCAAGAGGTTTTGAAGGATGCTGCAGCCCGAAAACAACTTATCACAGACATCAGAAGGAGACAGTCATCATTTTTCGGCCATGTTATGAGAAGAAGGAAAATAGAACATGTTGTGACCATTGGAAAGATCTGTGGAAAAATGGATAGAGGAAGACAACGAGAGAAGATGCTTGACAGTCTTGTTGCATGGCATGTAGGTGTGTCGGCACACGAACTGATACATGCTGCAAGAGATCGCAGATTATGGAGAGGCATGATCGCCCACGCCAGTCGGCAAGGCACCTGATGATGATGATGATGATGTCTCTAGTACCCTTTAGGTCTGTCGCAGAGTCAAACAGCCGACAAGGCCACAGTATGTTGTGCGAGTCTGCAGATCTAACAGTCCACGTAACCCAGCCCGCAATTAGGAGGGAGCGGAAATGGAAAGTGAAAATGCAATCGATTGTGCCCAAGAAGCATCGACATTGAAGTCATGGGATCAACACAAACCACCCGACGATGTTTTGGCCAAGGGAATATCCCATGGCGGTTCAAGGATTCAGCTACAGAGGGCAGAGACACGGTGATACAAAATATCAAAGACTCCGAGAAGAGCTGCTGGAACAGAAAGCAGCCCAACAGTCGCAGCAAGGACAGTGTTAGGTCTTGAGAGTACCATGCCAGAGGAAATCTTCTGGAACCATATTTTGCGTGTGGGTCCGCTGTAACTGTGCTTTCTAATCAGATCTACATGCGATATGTTACCCTCAGAAGGTAATATGGTCAAATGACGCAAGGAACAAGGTTCAACGCGTCCCTTGTCCTGAGCGAAGCAGACTTTTGAGTATGTGCTGTCTGCCTTAGATGAGGGCTGTTAACATGGAGGCAAAAGAAAGTCGTGCGGGAGTTGGTCGAATGTCTGGACCAAATTAGAATGACGGCACACAAAAGGTCCGGTCCTTAAGTTCCCACCATGGGGTCTCTCAAGGTTGGGCAAAAATCAGAGGCTAATTTCACCAAACGTTCTATCTATTCTCGATTGTACTGGAGACAGGCAGATAACGGTTGACTTAAATGTGTATGACAAAAACCCCCGAACTAATCCAGAAGACGCGGTTAAGGCCAGACATGGTGTTGAATTCTGCGATTTTTGGTTTTGGGTGGGCAGTAGTGGTGTTTCACCTCTGACCTCCGCCGCCTTCCCAACAGTTGTCTGGCTGCCATGTACTACAGCGATTACCATAACCTCGGTCATTATATTTAACCAAAGGACCTGTTTCCTACCTTTGGATGTATTGAGCATGTTGGGCTAGACCGATATTTTATAGACCAGTCAGCACTCTGTGGAAAATGCGGTCAGCATCACGCGAGCCATTTTTACTTCCTACCACCGTACCTGGTTTACCTTTAACTGGGTTGACATGAGAGCCACGGCTCCAAGCCGCTTCACCACTGCGGCTCCCTCATAACCTCAGTACCACTAGCTATAACCAAGTCTTGTTTTGTTCCATTGTCACAAGCGCAGCAGAAGTTGAAGCCCGGGATACATGACACGGGTCGGCCCGCCCCCGGAAATTGCTGGCTGGTCAACGGTCATAAACATGTTCTGATGATCAGTCGGCTCCTGCTGTGTGTGCTCTGGACGTGGAGTTGTCCTTCTTGATTGGCTATCTCATGCTCCAGACGTGGAGTTGTCCTTCTTGATTGGCTATCTCATGCTCCAGACGTGGAGTTGTCCTTCTTGATTGGCTATCTCATGCTCCAAACGTGGAGTTGTCCTTCTTGATTGGCTATCTCATGCTCCAGACGTGGAGTTGTCCTTCTCGATTACCTATCTCATGCTCCAGACGTGGAGTTGTCCTTCTTGATTGGCTATCTCATGCTCCGGACGTGGAGTTGTCCTTCTTGATTGGCTATCTCATGCTCCTGATGTGGAGTTGTCCTTCTTGATTGGCTATCTCATGCTCCTGACGGGATGTTGTCCTTCTTGATTGGCTATCTCGATAAAAGTATTTTTTTAATCAAGTCTGTGACTGAACTAGTTCTTTTTGGAATGGAGTGGTTAAAATTTAGCCGATAATGATGATAATGATGATGAAAAAGAAAAAAGAGGAGGAGGAGGGAGGGAGGGAGGTCACGGCTAATAAGGAGAATTAGAAGTGGAAGGGAGAAATAGATGGAAGAAATAACCTGTGTAGTAGATGCTGTATCTGTTCCCTCCACCGCAAACCTGGCTTCTATTTCCATTACATGGAGTGGAACATTGTGCTTCCTCGATCTCAGTTAGTCCTCTGATTATGTTAATGCACCAACACTGGTCTCCGTTCTCAAAACAATATAAGATAAATGCAGTTTCACTAACATAGAGTGTTAGCAGTTTCACTAACATAGAGTGTGAGCAGTTTCACTAACACAGAGTGTGAGCAGTTTCACTAACATAGAGTGTGAGCAGTTCCACTAACATAGATTGTAAGCAGTTTCACTAACATAGAGTGTGAGCAGTTTCACTAACATAAAGTGTGAGCAGTTTTACTAACATAGAGTGTGAGCAGTTTCACTAACATAGAGTGTAAGCAGTTCCACTAACATAGAGTGTGAGCAGTTCCACTAACATAGAGTGTGAGCAGTTTCACTAACATAGAGTGTGAGCAGTTTCACTAACATAGAGTGTAAGCAGTTCCACTAACATAGAGTGTGAGCAGTTCCACTAACATAAAGTGTGAGCAGTTCCACTAACATAGAGTGTGAGCAGTTTCACTAACATAGAGTGTGAACAGTTCCACTAACATAGAGTGTGAGCAGTTTCACTAACATAGAGTGTGAGCAGTTTCACTAACATAGAGTGTAAGCAGTTTCACTAACATAGAGTGTAAGTAGTTTCACTAACATAGAGTGTGAGCAGTTCCACTAACATAGAGTGTGAGCAGTTTCACTAACATAGAGTGTGAGCAGTTTCACTAACATAGAGTGTGAACAGTTCCACTAACATAGAGTGTGAACAGTTCCACTAACATAGAGTGTGAGCAGTTTCACTAACATAGAGTGTAAGCAGTTTCACTAACATAAAGTGTGAGCAGTTTCACTAACATAGAGTGTGAGCAGTTTCACTAACATAGAGTGTGAGCAGTTTCACTAACATAGAGTGTGAGCTGTTTTACTAACATAGAGTGTGAGTAGTTTCACTAACATAAAGTGTGAGCAGTTTCACTAACATAGAGTGTGAGCTGTTTTACTAACATAGAGTGTGAGCAGTTTCACTAACATAGAGTGTGAGCAGTTTCACTAACATAGAGTGTAAACAGTTTCACTAACATAGAGTGTAAGTAGTTTCACTAACATAGAGTGTGAGCAGTTCCACTAATATAGAGTGTGAGCAGTTTCACTAACATAGAGTGTGAGCAGTTTCACTAACATAGAGTGTGAACAGTTCCACTAACATAGAGTGTGAACAGTTCCACTAACATAGAGTGTGAGCAGTTTCACTATAGGAATAAACTCACAGGGAGCAAGTACAGCAGGGATCTACCAGTCATCAGTAGAAATTATCCTCGTCGACAAGTGTTTCGGCCCACGATTCCTATACACTTTCGGAGGTGGGCCCACCTGAGTTCATAAAGCTCGGGGCTGGTACCCTGCTGCACGAGATTACCGGATGGTGTTTTCTTTCGGATAGGGACAAGACGACTTGGTGGTTTCGCAGAAGGTACTGTGAGATAAGAAGTCGTTGCCGCAGCCTAATTAGAACAGTCAGCGTGCCTGGACCACCGATCGACAAGCTTACCTTTGGTTTACCGGACACATGTTGGACTTTTGTTAGCAGGTGGCAGAGGAACACTGGCAGACAATTCGGACACGATGGACTTTCAAAGGGTGAGAAACCCTTTTCCACTAGAGACCCATACCAGCTCACCGAGGCCCGTCCCCTACGTTGTTGCGTTGCGTCCAAAGCCAGCTCGAGGCCCTTTCGGCTACCTCGCCCAGTTTTTTGAGTGTTCGTTTCCGTTCATTACCGCGCAATCCTAGTTCTTTAACCACACTGTTGAGCGAAGTAGAAACGAGGCCTCTCGCTCCCACTTCGACGGCAAAGACCCGTACTGTGTACGCCTCGTTTCTCCTCAGACCGGCTGCTAAATCACTGTATTTCTCGAGCTTATACGTGTGATTCTCTTCCATACGCGATCATACGGGACGGTCAACTCAATCAGGATGAGCTGCTGTTTTTGCGCAGAGTGGAGAACTATGTCAGGTCGCAGGCCGGTCTTCCGGATCAACTCGGGGTACCTTTCATGGCCCGGCAGATCAACCGCCAGTAACCAGTCCCTCACAGAGTCTAGCAATGATGGAGCGAATGCGTTTCGGTTGACCTTACCTTTTGGAACCTGTCCAGCCTTGAGGAAACGAATGGGGGCGATGGTAGAACTGGCTAACATAGAGTGTAAGCAGTTCCACTAATGTAGTGTGTGAGCAGTTTCACTAACATAGAGTGTGAGCAGTTTCACTAACATAGAGTGTGAGCAGTTCCACTAACATAGAGTGTGAGCAGTTTCACTAAAAAAGAGTGTGAGCAGTTTCACTAAAAAAAGAGTGTGAGGAGTTTCACTAACATAAAGTGTGAGCAGTTCTCCTAACATAGAGTGTGAGTTGTTCCACTAACACAGAGTGTGAGCAGTTTCACTAACATAGAGTGTCCACAGTTCCAATAACATAGAGTGTGAGCAGTGTCACTAACATAGAGTGTGAGCAGTTTCACTAACACAGAGTGTGAGCAGTTCCACTTACATAGAGTGTGAGCAGTTTCACTAACATAGAGTGTCAGCAGTGTCACTAACATAGAGTGTGAGGAGTTTTACTAACATAGAGTGTGAGCAGTTCCACTAACATAGAGTATGAACAGTTCCACTAAAATAGAGTGTGAACAGTTCCCCTAACATAGAGTGTGAGCTGTTCCACTAACACAGAGTGTGAGCAGTTTCACTAACATAGAGTGTGAGCTGTTCCTCTAACATAGAGTGTCAGCAGTTCCAATAGCATAGAGTGTGAGCAGTGTCACTAACATAGAGTGTGAGCAGTTTCACTAACATAGAGTGTGAGCAGTTCCACTAACATAGAGTGTGAGCAGTTCCACTAACATAGAGTGTGAGCAGTTCCACTAACATAGAGTGTCAGCAGTTCCACTAACATAGAGTGTGAGCAGTTCCACTAACATAGAGTGTCAACAGTTCCACTAACATAGAGTGTCAGCAGCTTCACTAACATAGAGTGTGAGCAGTTCCAATAACATAGAGTGTGGGCAGTTCCACTAATATAGAGTGTGAGAAGTTCCACTAACATAGAGTGTCAACAGTTACACTAACATAGAGTGTGAGCAATTCCACTAACATAGAGTGTGAACAGTTCCACTAACATAGAGTGTGAACAGTTCCACTAACATAGAGTGTGAACAGTTCCACTAACATAGTGTGAGCAGTTCCACTAACATAGAGTGTCAACAGTTTCACTAACATAGAGTGTGAGCAGTTTCACTAACATAGAGTATGAGCAGTTTCACTAACATTGGGTGTAAGCAGTTTCACTAACATAGAGTATGAACAGTTTCACTAACATAGAGTGTGAGCAGTTTCACTAACATAGAGTATGAGCAGTTTCACTAACATTGGGTGTAAGCAGTTTCACTAACATAGAGTATGAACAGTTCCACTAACATAGTGTGAGCAGTTCCACTAACATAGAGTGTCAACAGTTTCACTAATATAGAGTGTGAGCAGTTTCACTAACAAAGAGTGTGAGCAGTTTCACTAACATTGGGTGTAAGCAGTTTCACTAACATAGAGTGTGAGCTCCTCTGTCACTAACATAGAGTGTGAGCTGTGTAACTTACATAAAGCGTGGGCAGTTCCACTAACATAGAGTGTGAGCAGTTCCACTAACATAGAGTGTGAGCAGTTCCACTAACATAGAGTGTGAACAGTTCTGCTAACATAGAGTGGTATCTGTTTTACTAACATAGAGTGTGAGAAGTTCCACAAACATAGAGTGTGAGCAGTTTCACTAACATAGAGTGTCAGGAGAACGCTTCAAACTCTAAGGAACAGAATAAAACTAGGACATTTTTTCAAGAACAAATTAGGTGCCTGTACTCACCTTCAAGTGTCATTTTAGTCACGCTGAAACAAAAAGTGTCTTTTTCTTCTTCTTTTTCTGTTTAGCTCACCGGATGTAAACTCCGGCAGAAATGTTGGTTGTTCGTTCCTTTCTGGACTTTGGTCTTGTTCCTCAAATTGAGTTTTGCATGTACTTACATTTTATACACTGGTTTATTTTTTTGGGGGGAGGAGGGGGGAGGGGGTGGGATTTGCAGACAGTTTGTTGCTGGCCTCTCATACATATGCACTGTGGCGTCTGAAGAAACAAGTCTAATTAGTCGAATCCAAAGACAAACTTGTTGCAGCTCAGCAAGTTTATTCTCTCTCCCCACCCCTCCCCCAAAATGGAATGTCGGTGCACACAAAAAAGAGGAGGGGTGGGTTACTACTACACCCCTTTGTGTACTGCAAATAAAAGGGGCGGGGGGAGGGGGGCTATACAGATAGCGTGCTAAACAGTAGAAGTTTGTAGGACAAGCCCTGCGACATGGCGGATCATGAATGCGAAGGTAAGTCGATCTCTTTCTGGGCCCAAATTCTTAAGTTAAACCGAAGTTGGTTAGGATATTGGACAAACGAGTGCACATACCGAGGTAAAATAAATTGAGAATGAATTAGAAATTCAAACGAACTACTTATATTCTGTTTCGCGGTTTTTAAGTTGAAAGAATGTCAGTACACACACGAGCACACACACAGACACACTCAACGTCTGCTCACAAAAGATACAAACGTTTATTCGCATGAACACACGCAAGCATTCCCACATACACGTGCGTGCACACACTCGCTCAAATACACACATACATAGATGTTCGCGCAAACAAGACGCTTGCGTCTTTCGCGAGCAGACGTTGTTGTGTGTGTGTGTGTGTGTGTGTGTGTGTGTGTGTATGTTCCCAAAGGGTCTTGACCACATTTGTATTGTCATGTATCTATTCACCACCTAGTGGTGCAGATCCAGTCAATATGGCTGCGCCACGTCGGCATGACCTGGAGAAAAGATCCAAAGTATGCTCACCACCCGTGACCTTTCCAGTAAAGCTTGCCACTCTGCTCGAAGCATCCTTGCCTTCACTTTTCTCGGCATTTCAGAATCTGTTACAATTACGAAATGTGTATTCATCTTGTTCTCTAGGAGAGATACAGTTACCGCCTCCACCTCCATTCTCAGGTTAGATGTTGCGGTGTCATATGCTAGACTGTCTTGCACTAAAGATTTTCTATTGGCTTTCGCTACGAACGCCCAGGCACTTCTATTTCCTCTCAACACTGAACAATCTGTATAGATAATCAGATCACCTGGGCGTGAATTGTCGTGAATCCACTGTTGGACTTCCACATCCGTAGCACCCGCTGGCCACTCTCTGGACTCCCATGCAAGAGAAATGCATTTTTTCAACAGTAGAGGATAACCAGTTTGCAGGAACAAGAAAGTGTAAAAACATTTCAAACAAAAAGTTTTCCTGGAGGACTTGGAGAATCTGAAAGAACATGCAGAAGAGCGTACTGATTGGAAAATATAAGAAGTAATCTTCCTTTCCTAATGGTTGTCTCACAACGTTTAGGTCACACCTGGCATACAATGAGGTACTGAGAATGAGAAGAGAAGTAGAACTTCACAGTGTACAGTAGGAGCCTACTGATCTTAGTAGGTATCCCCCCCCCCCTTTTTCCCATTTCAAAAATTGTTTTAGCCCGTTTTCCTTTGCTCAGTTGCTTCAGCACCAGATTACACTCTACGATCATTACGCAAGCCAAGCTGCTTCAGTACATTGTAGAGATTAGCTTTCTTGCGTCACCTCAACTTAGAAGAGTTTGACTGTGTACCCCTCATGGCTTCTCAGACTGGCTACCAGATCACTGTACTTCTCGAGCTTGTACAGTTGTTTGTCCTTAATTCGCGCGACTCGTACGGCATGCTTAGCTCGAGCAGGACCTGCTGACCCACTGCCGCCGAGAGCACTATGTCTGCTTCAGCCCAGTCTTTCCGTCTTTCCTTCAGGTGGGGGGGGGGGGAGGAGGGGGGGGGGGGGCAGGCCGGCCAGGGTTATGACTGACGGGACTCGGATTTCTGCTGCACTAATAGAAGAAGACGTTATGGTAATTACAGCAAGTACAGAGGTTGTGGTAATCGTCGCTGTGGTAGCAAATTAACAGCCTACTTACGCGACTAGAGTGACGCAACGGCAGTTGGTTTATCGGACAGACGTTTATCGAACAGACGTTTATCGGACAGACGTTTATCGGACAGACGTTTATCGGACAGACGTTTATCGGACAGACTTTTATCGGACAGACTTTAGCAGTTGGCAGTTGCACAGGCAGACATATTGTGTGAAACATTTATATTTCAGTCTCTGATACTAGTGAGGCATACACATGTACCAGTAAGACAGCAAATCGCTGGCGGTGGTCCCAACACTTGCTGATGCATGCGTTCACAGTAGTGCTACTCCACAAATTCACTTTGATGACAGACTTGTCATTCCAGGACTTCTGCTGCATGAAGCAAGCAATATAAGCCGATCTTCCTGCCTCAGAAGCTGTGGAACACAACACAAATGTTTAATCATGCTCCTGAGGAAGCCTAAAGATTATATAAATGTATGCATAGGCACAGATAGTCGTTATTAGAGGATTAGAGACTAAATGGACACTAGTGGGCGTACAAGACATCCGAAGTAGTTTAAGTTAATGATACACTGTATTATCAACTGTCATTAAAAACGAAAAGAGCCTGACTGAAACATTGCGGGTATTTCCTCATTTTTTTTCCAACTGGCCATTTTTTTGCTTCAATACCAGTCAGGTCTGATACCGAGAGACAGGCATTATTGGTATCAGTCTGTCTCTAGTGCGTTATTGTTCATCGAATCAATAGCTACCATTTATCTGCTATAGGTTAATTACCTGATGTTTAACTTATTAAAAAAAAAAACCCCATTAGAAACGACTTACTAGCTGCTTTTGCTAACGTCACAATGTATTGTCATGTAATAGTAGAATGGACATTTTATCGACCAGTATCAATGTTAGATCCACTACGCAGAGAAAGAATGTTGCTAGAGATGTTTTTAGCTGAGAAAGTCAGGGAAAGAGAGACTGGTTACATTCTATGATCACCTAATATTTGCACTAAAACCGATATCTCACATTTCTTCAGCAACATCCAAGCAAAACTCTGGAGGATAAAGTGAGTAGACTAGACAATTGAAGAGTTTACAAACAATTACACAAACAGCAACTGTTCAAATACCAACATCATCATCAATTTCCACCTTTGCCGTTAAGCTTCATAGGGTGGAGTCGTTTGCCATCCATTGCTTGATAGGTAGTAATGATTATTGTCATTCCGTGTCGATATAGAAGGTCTTTAGTGTGGTGAATCGTTCTTCTCCAAGGGAGAGTCCTAGTTTTGACATCAGGAATTTTCATGTATAGCGCCTGAGACTGGTAGTGGTTGTGGCCGCAGTCTGACCAGCTGACCAAACAATTTGATCTTCTATTTCTCAATGGATTTGGGTCACGGTGGCCTTTCTCGGGCATCTCATATCACAGATTTCAATTTTACGTAAGGTAACCTTTCATGTCGGCGTTTGCGAACACGCTTCGTAATGCCGGGGCGCCGGGTTTGATCCCAGCTGCAGACGATTTGTCTTGCGTTGGTTTCGACAGTGGTACCGAGAGCTGACCATGCAGAAACAATGGCAAACTACTGAACGAACAATTTGTCTAGAAAAAAAAAAACAACAGCGAAGAAATGCTGGAGTTGGTTCTCAAATGTACTGTAGAGGATACGCAACTAATTTTATCTTTGATAATATCCAAGTTTGACACACCGTTGGTATGAATTGGTGTGTTGAAGCTGGGATCAATCCAACGAAGGCAGCATTGACGTGGTTCTCTTTGAATAACTATATTGTCAACATCCTAACGCCAACAGTAAGTCTATACTCAAAGATTGCGGAAAGAACTCAGGCAATGAAATACCCAGGGATATTATTTGATCAAAGCCTTGCTCACAGTACGCACATAGAGCAGGTGATTAAACAAAAATACAAAGCAGACCTTTCCTGTCGTGCGAGCGATGGTGGCGGCAAACAGTCAGCAGGGTCATGTCTTAAAAAACCTGCGTCGGGTCGTTTCTGTTTCTGAGTATGCGATGGCGATTCCGACTCTCAACCACAAGCAGAAGGAGAGGATGGAAAGTTATACAAAACGAAGCTATGCATATTATACTCGGGAGCTCAAGAGATACAGCCTGTGGGATGATGCGCTACCGTCGCGACTTTCCAACCACGGAGGGCAAAATTCAAGTGCAAGTGTCGCGCAAGTGCCCACCTCAGTGTCATTGGGGCGCACAACACCAGCGGCATAGTGACATTCAACAAGACAAAAGCCCGCAGGTTACAAAGAGGAAAAGTGCGGATGAGTCAGCCCAAGGTCATTATTCAGCAGGTGTGTTCACTTCGGGGAGGGGAAGGGGAGGAGGGAACCTTCTGAGGAATAGTTACAACTACTAACAGGGTGTTGTACGACCTTTTCTGTTTGCATCCGACTAGAAAACAAAAGTGCAGATTTAAAACACCACCGTGAAGGCAGAAGATAATGCTTTAATTGTCGAGAATTCTCCAGATGGGTAAGCTATCATTTACACAGATAGTTTTGTGGTTCGTCACGTGAGAATCTCGTGGGTTTTTACTGCTCAAGTGGGAATTAGAACTATGAGGCAAGATTCTGGTTCTCTTGCTTTCCCTGCATGTAGTATGACTACTGAGTCCTGGCAGCGACCAAAGCAATAATATGGCTGGCGACACAACGTTATCCCCTCATACTTTTCCGTGGAGACGCCTCGCACATAAGTTTAGACCTGTCAAAACGTTATACAACAACTTAGAGGTTACATCACACATGTACCAATAGTCTATACTGGCTTAGAGTTTACACCAGCCATGTCCCAATAGTCTCCATTGATTCAAAGATAACACCAGCAATGTCCCAATAGTCTCCATTGATTCAGAGATAACACCAGCCATGTCCCAATAGTCTCCATTGATTCAGAGACAACGCTAGCCATGTCCCAATAGTCTCCATTGATTCAAAGATAACACCAGCCATGTCCCAATAGTCTCCATTGATTCAAAGATAACACCAGCCATGTCCCAATAGTCTCCATTGATTCAAAGATAACACCAGCCATGTCCCAATAGTCTCCATTGATTCAAAGATAACACCAGCCATGTCCCAATAGTCTCCATTGATTCAAAGATAACACCAGCCATGTCCCAATAGTCTCCATTGATTCAAAGATAACACCAGCCATGTCCCAATAGTCTCCATTGATTCAAAGATAACACCAGCCATGTCCCAATAGTCTCCATTGATTCAAAGATAACACCAGCCATGTCCCAATAGTCTCCATTGATTCAGAGATAACACCAGCCATGTCCCAATAGTCTCCATTGATTCAGAGACAACGCCAGCCATGTCCAAATAGTTTCACTTGATTCAAAGATAACACCAGCCATGTCCCAATTGTCTCCATTGATTCAAAGATAACACCAGCCATGTCCCAATAGTCTCCATTGATTCAGAGATAATACCAGCCATGTCCCAATAGTCTCCATTGATTCAAAGATAACACCAGCCATGTCCCAATAGTCTCCATTGATTCAAAGATAACACCAGCCATGTCCCAATAGTCTCCATTGATTCAAAGATAACACCAGCCATGTCCCAATGGTCTATATGAACTCAGATATAAACCCACCTGTTACTAGACGATAGTGTCCTGTATCTTTTCTTGGATCTCCCCTAATAATACAAGAAACTCTGAAGTGATTTATGGTTGAGATGGCGGCTCGTATTAGTCTAGGCTGTGTCTGCAGCTCCAAAAACCATCGAACACCACTTCAGGCATGAGGCAACTCAAGTCCTTGGCTCTACACAATTCCCAAAGTCTTGGCCAGACTTCCCCTCCACTTGATAGTGTCCAGCTTGGATGTGTCCACCATACCAGTCAAACAAACACAGTTATTTGCAGGACTCTGATCTAAAAAGTATGCACACAGAACTTAACTAACAAGGACTGTGAAATACCAGACACCAGCAAAAGTAAGCTCTGAAAAATAATGCATGATATAATACAATTGTAAAGAATCTCAAAAGAATAATACATAAGAATGACAGAAACACGAGCAGTATCTAGCAAAGATCCACGTTAGACAAGAATGACTCCTGATCTGCCAATAGTTTCTGTTGTGCTCATCACTGCGCTGATTATGTGTGACGTGACGCGTGGTTTAAATGTTTATGTTGTTGAGTAGGGATCTTCCTTTCAACACATTCTCTCCACTAGATAAACCGAACTAAAATCTGAGCTATGTTGCTCTCAGACAAAGTCCTGGATATCCAAGAAAACAGCCATATTGGCTCGTTAAGTATATTAACATTAGCTGAACTTGGTACCCACAAGAGAAGGCAAGGAATTTTAGATGTCTATCATACTAAATGCATTATTAGACAGGGCAAGTGATTCCTTCGTCATCTACCTTCTCCCGGTGTTATTATTAATAATTAAAGAATTATTATCATATTATTTGAGCTCCCACCAAATGTATTTCTATCTATCAGTTTAGAAAACAGGTAAGATTGAATACACTTGGAATTTAACAAACGATGTAGTATAAAACTTGACATACAGCTTTATTTTCTAACAATCAGTTAATTGACATACCCAGTTTGTTGTGTTTACACAAACAGTGACTAGCTAAAGTTATGATAGTAATGGGTTGTTTCAGCGCGAGAACAGCACCTGGGATTAGAGTGGTGTGATGAAGGTGATAAAGTATGAACAATTTATGAACATAACTTTCATAGAACCTCTGACAGCCGTGAGCACTGTCAAGCTCTTCCTCCTCTTCCAGCTTCTTCCCTGCTTGTTTTCTCCTCCTCGCCCCCACCTCGTTCTCCACCTCGTTCCCAGCTGGCCGAGTCTAACACAATGTAGGCTACTTCATGGACTGATCGTCACATGGGCGCTGTAATCATGGAAACAAAACACATACGTGTAGTATCTTGACTTACACTAAGAATACATGTATCAATTAATACAACATATAATAATAAGATATAGCCCATCACTCCTCCTCATATTCCACATCCTCTCCAGTCTAGTCTGAAGGTCTTTTGTCTTACATGGGCGTCACATATCCTGCCTTCCCTCAAATGCTATGTCATGATAGTGGACTTTCTAAGTCTGTTGTCCGTCTTCACTCAGACTTCGAGTTGGCTGACATAGATTTGACATAAACATGTGGCGCAGGTTATGTGCTGAACCCGCAAACAATTTATATGTGCACGCTGTCCTGAATATTATCTTTCAGTGACCGTGAATACTGTACACCCATCATTCTTCCCCTGGGGTTATAAATCCCCTGTTCAGGTGAACACATTAAGTGAGCACATGGTGGGCACACAAAACGTAGCAGCATCCCTGCACATATTTGGGCATCATTTCCCACAGTCCCAACTCATATTTTGGCTAATCGTGAAAACAATATAATTACATTTCATTATAGCAAATGTCATTGTTCCCCTCTTATTTTATACACATGAAAACATACAATGAAAAACATGTGACACAAACATACAAGAAATAGGAATAGTTTAGCAGTTCCCTAACTTGAGATACTGAATTCTCACAAAGAACTATTTCAAGCAGAATGTGCAGACAAATTAGGAAAAGGTAGTATAGACTAAGCTTAACTCCCTAACCTAAGTATACAAGATTACAATTAATATTTTCTCTTACCTGGGAACTTTTTCCATCTATCGCCAAAACCAGA